GTCATTGAAATACATCGCAATTTCAATTTGCCATCATCATTTCAAAGTATTTTTTGAAGAGCTTTCGGTAATTTATGGGAAATTTAAGCAGTTTTTCTCATGAGAAAAATTATACTACACACCACTAAATATGGCATGGCAAATGGTGTATTTGCTTTGAATTATATCTCGTCAAGAGCTTGTGATATCATATTTCTCAGACTCTGTAAAGCACTGGATGAATCTCATGTTTCTCAAGTATATTATTTCACAATTCTCTATTTCTAGTAAATACAGTAGAAAATTTCATTGAGATTTCCTATTCTTTCACTCCAGCTTCTAAGGTCATGTTTTCTCTGCGAATTCGCCCACAATACAAGAAATCAAGCGAAATACATGAACACTTGTTGACAATTAGCGTGGTAATATTGACTTTTCACCGCAAGTGTGTGAACAAGGCAATAATGAGTGCTTCTGCTCAGCGAAATTTCCTGAAAATTGACCCACAATGGTGGGAGTTGAGAGGCAACTCAAGTGGGAACACGAGGAAGCACCGCGAAGCTGTCTTCCCACACTCATTAAGAGAATATCCATGAAGATTTCTCGCAGAATACTCACCATCCCTGAACTAATAGGATACTTTCGTGTCTGATGGTCTTTCCTAGTTGGGTGTGTGTGGGCAGAGTACAAAATTATCCCCAACACTAATTCTCCTGAGCTCCATGTGAAATTTCAAATGAATTGTGAAGAACATTATGAACGAATCGATGGATCTGCTGCGACAACAGAGTGCCTGGCCAGGGATTTTCAAAGTGCCGGCAGAATCGTTTGAATATTTTCCATGATGGGGAGATGAAGGCCTCTGAGTCCGGTGGAAGGGGACAGATAATGTGAAGAGTTTGTGTATCGTTTGAGGAGGAAAATTGCTCATAGACTCGGTCACAATCCACCCTGGGTATTGATGTTAATCACGTGTGTTTTCCACTCGATTAACTTCCATTCGGTGTCTTGTCCTGGGGACTCTCTCACACATTTCATCACCCATTCGATGCCGGTAATAGGCCGGTTGAGAGTTTATTAATAAACTCGAGAACAGCAAGCTTGGTTCTCTCATTAGTTCCGGCAACTCGAGCGCCGTCCGGGGTCGCGCAATTCTGCTGACCAGCAGCTCCCTTTCCCGCGAAATCCTCTTTAATGGCTCCTGTTGTGGGCGCATCGCCACCCCATGAAAATTGTCACCAGCAGCCAAATTGGCACACACTCTGTGGATTTTAGCCTCCGGTCAGCACACGCACGCCCGCCTAATTACTCACTGAAGCAGTTCATTGAGCTTCAATCACTCCTCCTGCCGACCCATCAAAAGGTCTCATGTATTTTCCCACTTCCGCCCGGAACTGTTTTCAAGTGTCTGACTAATTTAAACTCCACGCGACTGACACGGAGCGCCTTCTGCATTGGATTATGTCTCAATCTCATCCCGCTCACGTACCAAACTCCAAACGTCTCCAATAGATATTATTCTGGAGCAGAGAAAGACAGAGAAACTTTGGCATCAATTCCGGAATATAATTCTCAAGATGTGTGATGTGCAAATGCTTGAATTTCAATGGCAATCCTCCACTTTACACCCCCATTGGAGCACTCTCTTCTCAGTGTCACCAGCCCCACACCAGCACGACTGATTTCCAACATCCTTGTAATTCACGCAGCAATGTCACGCCATACGAATTCCTTGTCATTTGTTTTATATATGACACAATCCTTAAATACAGCGCGACATCGTCGAAGAAAGTCTAACAAGCTATAAATTAAAACAATTCACAGGGTGAGATTTTCATTGGAGGGCGAGAAAAAAGTTTTCTCTCGTCGACGCTGTGTGAAACATCACAGTTATGTAGATATTTAAGGGATGAAACACAACGCACAGTTTCTAATGTGACTTCAGTGTTAGGAAAATGCTGTGGAGGCCAAGAAATGCATATTTCAAAGTTATATATTTTATTAAATACACACGAGAATGTTTCAAAAAAAAACTCCACAACCATCCCACGCGCCCGAGGATTCCCCAAAGAAACACAATGATATGGGTTGAAAAAGTTGAAGAAAGGAAAGTAATTAATTGTGTTTAATGAAAATGAGACAAGAAAACACATCAGCGATTTGCTTTTTGGACACAACCAAAAACCTCGGGAGATAACACGCGCGCCAGAAGAATGAAGAAGGGAAAAAAACAATCACACAAATTTAAATTGAAAGCCCTATTCAACTTATCACAGCGGCGGATTTCGCGGAGAAGAATGTCCAAAAAGCGACGATGAGGAAAGTTTGACCAAAAAATACATTAAAAGTATTCGTAATTACAATGACATTTTCAATTTTTCATCCAGCCAGATTATATCAAACTTTTTGCCGGCCAACTTTTGTGCTTCGTCACAAAGTCCCTTGCGAGGTGGAATTTTTGCAGAAATGTATTGTGTATGTGTCCCACATTAAGTGGCTAAATATTTCATTATTTCCCATTCAATATTCATCACACTGGAGTTAAAACATGAGGGAGTGATAAAAGCTCGTAGTATTTGCTATCGAATCACCTTTGACATTATATTGTGAGTGAGTGCACATCACAAAAATGCGCATTATAGTCAGCGAGTAAATAGAATGATGGGAGTGATGTATTAAAATGTAGGTAGGATGGCTCTTCAGGGATTGCCGACATTGTCACCAGCACAAATACACAATTACTTGTGTGTGCGAAAATTTCAGTCCTTGTTAACTGGATAAAAACCATGTCACTCTGCCCCACGACTCTTCATAACGTAGAGAGTCAATAGCAGCTTGTGTAGCTTGATTAGCTGACATGAAGAACTTGCCAGAAACGCACTCAGAAAAAGAGAATGTAGCGCTAAATTATTGTGTATGTTCTGAAATAATGACATCGTCAGTCTCTGTGAATATTGTAATGAATTAAATAACATACAAATGTGTACAAATTGATGTTTTAATAATTGAAAATTGAAATTCTATATCTATCAACAAAACCACAATAGTGCGGTGCTAATACTAGAGCCGCAAATGCCATGATTTATATTTAATTAAATGATCTCAAAGTTTCCAGTGTTTACACTATTTGATTTTCCATTTACATATTTGCGGTTAGTTTAACACTACAAATTCATCGATTACCATTTTTTATGTCAGATAACATACAGAAAATCACCGAGGATTTTTCGCATCTTCATTTCGTTGAGTGTAGGCCAGAATTTCCATGGAAAATGATGTCAACTCACCAGAAATTCGGGAACGGGCCGTGAACAAGGCAGTCGCTGTGTTTGTCGCCACACTTTCCTGGTGACTCTCCGGAAGGATGTCGTCCGGGCCGTAGGTGGGAAAAGTGCCGGCAGGAGTGTGTTCAATTTTCTGCACTGCACTCCGCTGGCCGTGTAGTGATGTCCAGTGAATTGGAGTGCGATGGTAATTTCGAAGAGAAGCCATGGAAATGGTAAATGGGCCACCGTCGGTTTGGCCGTGTGGGTGAGAAAATGCACGCGATTCGGTTCAAAGGTAATCGGCCAGTGTGTTTCGCACTCAACACAAATGTGATACAAGAAGGTGAAGAGGTGACCGTGATTCGGTGCGGATCGTGTGAGGGCAACAAACACAGCGTCTCTCGCATCAGACACAATCCATGCCAACACTCTCGAATCAATGACCATCGAGTCCCACACCCCGCCCCGGCCGGAGCTTTCTTCGTCACACATTTCCACCCCTGAGGCGTTCACCGTGCCATTGACATCATCCGAAATCCATTGTTCAGACACATGTCCCTTCTGCGCTGTGTGCCTCAGACCACGCACCCCAGCGGATGTCGAAACACGATTCTCTGCCCACCCGGGCCCCACCTCATTAGCCATGCTCGGGTTGGGTGTGACGTAAGGAGAATCAGAGTTCGCCTCAGGTACACGGAGACACTTCCTCTCCGTGTCACTTCCACACCAATAAATCTCCTCCACCACTTCTTCGGCATCCTCCTCAATCCTCAGCTCCTCCTCCACCTCCTCCTCGACCCGCTGCTGGCGCATCAGGGGATACCGCTTGCGTGACCCCTTGGGAGACTCACAGTCGCGTCTCACGCGACACGTGCAGAAGCTCCCGGCGAGCGGGAGCTTGATCAGCGACACCACAGACTCCTGTCCCTTCCCATCCACCCCGGCGTGCACGTGATCGTGGCGCCTCGCCGGAGGATCCCTGTCGAAGGAGATGAGCTGCACTTTGCGGTGGAACTCCAGCCACACCGAAACAGTGGTGTCCCCCACGAAATCAATGACACTGCAGCACACAACACGTTGATCTTCATGTGATCTTCGGCACAGCACTTGGCGCTTGCACACAACCAAATGCGGTATTCGATGAAATTTGTAGATCTTGTGGTACGCCACATATCGCCTGCGCACTGGAACAGGTGGACACGCGATCGCCACATCGCGATCACACATTTTCACGTCGTGATCGTGAGCACCTTATCACACGAGATATGCGCGCGCGGTCAGACCGATGCGGCGGTCATCAGCCAAATATCGCCACGAGATCGCACTCAATGCCAGCGAGAGACAATAAGTTCGCGCGTGAACAGCTCAAGGTAGCCAATTTCACCTGCAGTAGCCGTCATCTCAGCCACATGAATTACAACTACTATCGATCGCGAGTGCCTGGGCCCCGCGAAGCTATCTCTTCTCTCACTCTTTCCCCAGCGTCTCAGCGGCGGCCTCCTACCTCGCGATAAACACTATGGGATGGTGTAATAAACTTGAAATACGCGATTTTCTGTCTTGTACATAATTGCACATAATGAATGTGTAACTCACTCTCGTGATGTTTTGTGTTAACAGGCGAATTAATTCATAGGGCTGATCAGAGAGTCTGTGTGCGTGTGCAGCGGGCGAAGGTGTGACAATTTTCGCGCCAAAAGTCAACACAACACACACGTGATAAAACGTGATTTTGTACATTCTTCCTACGCGCCACAGATATTATTCATGCGCCGCCACCCCACAGTCTTGATGTCCTACTGTGTCCCATGGCAGGTGGGATTTTATAGGCTCAGGTGGGTCATAATTAACGTGTACATTTTAGGATGATGTATGGAAATATTGCCGGGCAAATATTCACATTGTTTTCCGCCCTCACACCCACCGCGCAAGGTTGTGTGTGAAAGACACAGCAGAGGCAATGGTGAGACCTGCGGTGTTTGTGGAAAATTGTGATTGTTTTCAGGCTAATTTTTACGATCTTGATTATAATAAGACAGATAGAAATTATTCAACACCATATTGCTTTTCTTTAGTTAAACTTACTATTGTGACAACACAATTATTCATTCAATTCACTAAATAGTCATCGGAAAAGGTTTTCGAATGTTTACAATACTTGTGACTTCTTCAGCTGAAGCAAATGTGAAAATTCATTAACAGTTCCAATGAAATTCCTCACAGGTATTTACTCAATTTTCTGCCACAAAAAAATCAGTGTATACTCAACCCTAATGAGTTGAATAGCGAGTGAGAGAGAAAGAAAGAAAAAAGTCATTCATGCATGAATTGATTTTTTTTTCTAATTATTAAGCGATCCACTTAGCTAATTACTTATTACCAATAATTGTACACTGTGGCCAGTCGTGAAAGAGAACGGTCATAATAAAATTCGTGCCTTTCGCATTTTTTCTCACCGCAATGAAATTGCGATGAAACTGAGAGCTTCAATTAAAATTCACATCAACTTTGTGCGATTTAATTGATCGTGCGATTAAAGTTTTCTAATCTGATTGTCGGGGAGATGCATCAGCTGAATTATGTGACATCCAATGCCAAATTGTATTTTCCCACAAACTTCTTCGCTAAAAATGAAAAGAATTTCAACTGTGCGGTAAACATGAAATTGTATTTTGGCAAGTAATTAAATTACACCTCTTGAATCAATATAGAGAGATGTTGAGGAAAAAACGTGTTGATGTACTTCGGCCAGAAGGTGCTTTTTTGCCGGCATCCTATATACACCTCGCGCATGTTTGTACGATGGTTCCAATCAACAGACGATCTCATTGTTGACCTGAAGCCCAAGGCAATTGAGGTACTTTTGGCTGTGTCCACGACATGGCTATACGAAAACCTCCCCCGCCACTGCGCCTCATGTACAATCCACAGTTTATATTTGCCGACAAATTAACATTTGTATGTACACGCACCGCCTATAAACAGTCAATCAACATGTTTCTCCGCGCAGAGACACACAGTGTTAAAACAGCAAATTCACTTACTAATCTTCACCATATATCCACACGTCTTGTCAAATGTATAATGAATAGCACATTCTCCCCAGAGATCCGAGACATTCTCAAACCTCTGCCAATTATATTTTGCCAAGCAGCACAATCCTGAGCTTTGTATGTTCTCGCGAAGGAAATTTAAGAGTGACTTGCACTTTCCCACACTGCACGTCAGATCTGCAGACACGATGAGTCGCCGAGAGCGAGCAGAATACCTTGTTTATGAACTTGATGACTCAATAAGTCCTTTCCTGGGAAAAGCATAAGATGAAGTTGTATATCTGAAAGAAAATTTAATCCTATCAATTATTAGCGATTCCATTCACGTGTTTAAACACAAAGTCCCTTATTTTCCATTAATCTTAGATGTGGTTCGAAAGAATATGATACTTAAAAAAGCACTGAAAGCTCTCTATGGCATTAAATTCTTGCATATAACAACTAATTGTTTGTTCTCTTTCGAGCTCCTTTCAACGGCACTCATTCAGAAACAAGTTTTTGTCTCACGATTTCAGTGAAAATCCCAATTACCACTGCTAATGAGACTTCTTTCTAAAATGCTTCGCATAAATTGTCTTTCTCAGAAAGGTTTTCTCCAGAAGATCCTCTCTGACTTTGGTATCATCGTGAATGTTCATTTTCAGATTGAGAATCACTGATTGTGAAACTATGAAAGACTTTGTGTCTCAGAAATTTATGCAAATGAAAATAATTGTACAAAAATGGTGCACTTGTTGGTATAAATAATACATTAAACATTAAAGTGAGAGACGAAAGACATATTTCACTTCCAATTTCGTCTCCTCTATCATGTCATGTTTAGGAGACCAAAAGAGCAAATGAAAGATAAACGACATACTCTCTATGCGACTATTAAATTATAATGTGTTGTGGAATGAATAGTGTAGTTTGTAATGGATATTGTGAGTTACAAAATTGCTCTTCTAGCATATTAAGCACATATACATAGCACTTTAGCACCGCGATAAATGCGAAATATTCAAAGAATGGGCTTGTGAATGAAATTTTATTAGGCGTGCGAAGAAAAGAAGTGTGTGTATTATTTCTTCAAATATCTCTCAATCTTTCGCCCAAAAGCATGCTCCGCCACAGCTGGAAAATTCGTCAGAGAAAGCATTTTATTCCACCCAATAGGAGTTGGAAGTGGAAATCGAGAATGATGGACAGAAAAGTGTGTGAGATGGTGGGAAAGGTTTGATACTTTCTCTATTTATATTTTATACGGTTATGATCCAATTGCCGGAAAATAGAAATAAATGAAAATTCAATACGATTTCCCTTTTATTGTCAAAATAGGGATCAAACATTTTGCCACAGTTCACTCTCGTAGTGACAGCATAAGGGAAATTCACACCATTTTCGACATCCGGGGAAAGGAACCCTTTATGGATATGAAACGGAATGCTCAATGGGACTCTCGAAATAGATTCCTCGACTATTTTTTCTAGACACCCTTTCGCTCCCAATTTTATTGTGTGTTTTTCTGCTGGATTTCCTCAAAACCCACACTCTGTAATCAACTGAGAAAGTCAATTTCGCCACAAGAGACAAGAAAAGGTGAAAAGAAATCACATCGACATGGAAATATTCAACTTATCAGAGTTATCGCATTTAATTACACAAAGAGAATAACAATTTCTATTTTTGAAGAATTTTCTGTTAAATTAAGCACACAATTTGTAACGTATTTGTACTCCGTGAGACAAAAAGCTTCTCCATACTCGAAATAATGAAAGCTTCGGCACACAAAAGCGTAAAGTCAAACAATTAAGACTTTCACCGTGTTAAACTGAAAAGTGTGACAATATTCTGCTTCTGCACAATAGTAAATCAAATTGTCAGGATTTTCCACAATATAATTATTCGCTGAGCGCATTATCATTTATCATTATTTCTGTGACAAAGTGAATTGCTCTGCATTTGTATGTTTCCCAAATAGCGCACTTTCCGTACTTTTCAACCCACCCACATTCATTACGACCTCCCTGGCAGATTGTGTACTTATTTTGCTCAAACACACATGAATTGTTGTTTGTGACACGGAAAAACACACTCTCATTAGTGCTAAATTACTCGTTACATAAATTTTTCGGGTGCAAGGAAAAAGAATCGAGTGAACTTTATATGGTGGAAATATGCAAATTACTCTACAGCGCTCTTTCCCGTTGGCTTTTCAGCAATTCAGAGATGGATTGGACAAAATATTTTAATAACTAAAATACTTCAAAAAGCTCCAGTGACCAACTTTGGCTATTTCATCGTTAGTTCCTAACTTTTCCACATTTTTTATTTCTGTGGAAAATGAAACTCATCGGGCTTCAATGGGCACCTGCGCCAACTCCTACACTGCTCGTGGCATTCAACACATCATTGAGACACTATATAAAATTCACAAGTTGCAGTCATAAATGTCATTATCATTTAGGTTGCATTTCCGAGTTGGACTGCCGAATTATTACACGGCAGACGAAGGGAGAATTTATTGCGGAAAGGAGTGCAATAATTATAAATTGTTACACACGTGTGTTGCTCCGTTGTTTAACTTTAACTGAAAGTTTCATGAGACGTGAATAACCACTCACGGAATAGCTTGTGATAGTTTAATTTCACATAATTGGTGAAGTTCTCACGGGGAAGCGACAACCAATTTCTGGGTGGAGAAGTTTTCCTCCTCACTTCAGCTGCCATTTGCCAAAATAATAATTGCACAATTAGTCCTGGAATGTCAGCAGTGGGAAAATTGCATTGTCACATGTTGACGATTTTCATCATAATTCTGATGGCAAATGACATTCTTCCATTGTCACATAATTTGAACCGCATCATGAGTGACAGAGGTGAATAAATTAATGTGTGTTATTAGTATATCCAGAGTGTCGAAGAATTACGGATTTGCTTCACCTGAAGTGAACACTTCAATTGTCCTTCTTGAATCTACCACCATATCCCTAATAGCGCCATTTGCCACCCTAATTGCAGAACTCGACGGCGAGAGTCATCAGCTGAGGGCTGGTCGTTCGAAACGGTGTATCGTGGTTCAAAAGCAATCTCACCTTCCTCACCGGACCAATTCACACGATTACGATGATGAGGAGGACGACGGTGATTCATCGTTTGGTAATTAAATTGATGGTGTCGAAGGGCTCAATTGCAGATGAAGTCTCGCACTATCTCACCCATTTCTTTGTGTCACTGAATTGGCATACAAAAACTTTTCAATTTATTCCGGGAATTCAATTTTGCACTGCACTTCATTCAATCTCTGTGTGAGGCGTTTAATAAACGCGAGAGATCTCTTCACCTGCCCTACATTTGCCATCGCGACACGTTGGCAATCATTTCGCATAACTTGAGGGATTATCGCACTCATCATAGCTTTAACTTAAGTGCACAGCTTTTCAAAACAAGCACATTCTGAGAATTCTTCTCCTTTCACTCATTTTCTCCTGGGAATTCTTCTAGTTTTCAGATAAATTAATTGCGAATTCTTCGCTCTCTTCAGAAAATTATCGACGACAAATGAAGCGCCCACGGAAGATGAGTAAGAATTCTGGACAGAGGAGTAATAACACCGAAAACAAAAGATTCCACATCGAAAGACCGGAGATGCCCTAATTATTTATCCTTCATCATTTGTTGTATTTTACTACAGAGAATGTTTTAGACAAATAAAATACTTATGATATCTCACACTATAAATGTTGTAAATTTAATATTTTCCCCTGTCATTTCGATATCGTGACTTCAATTGACTATTAAAATTAAAACAAAGAATCGTGACTTATAACAAAGAAATGTCGAGTTAAATAAAATGCATGTTTTTCAAAGATTCCCAGGCAAATTAGTTTAAAAATGGATTCGAAGGTGTTAACATCATTTCTTGTGGTTTTCTTCGTTCTTGTGGATTGCAAATTGCAACGGTGTGAATATGAAGTACTTGGAAGGAAAGCAAGAATTGAAAACTTTAAATTCCTTAATATTTCAGGATCAGAATCGAGAAATCTCAAACAGTGCGAACCTACAAAGAAGTGAATGAAGTGAGCAGCAGAGCTGGTTTTGAGAATTCCACTGTGTCACTCACGAGCTTCCAAGATGTAAGAAAACCATCAAAGTATTGTCAAACAGCGCATTTAGAAAGGCTTTTCATACACTTTCAGCTGCAATATTATGGCAGAATTTCTATCGGAACTCCTCCTCAGAATTTCACTGTAGTCTTCGATACAGGATCGGCGAATCTTTGGATACCATCGATTAGATGCAACACGTCGCATCTGCCTTGCAGTAAGAATATTCATTACATCGGTTTTGTTCATAGAATTGGGAAAGAATTTCCTTCTATAAATTTGCAGTGATTCACAACAAATACGATTCGTCTAAATCATCTACTTACACGGCCAATGGAACCTCATTTTCTATTCGGTACGGCGATGGCAGTGTGGATGGCTTCCTGTCCCAGGACGATCTCACAGTGAGTTCAGGCATTTTCTCCATTTAAACTGACTCTTCAATGATTCCAAACACCTTTCAGATCGGCGATTTGGTGATCCGCGATCAAGTATTTGCCGAAGGTGTCGAAATGCCTGGTGATGCTTTCACTTTCACCAGATTCGATGGTGTTCTTGGGCTGGCCTATGAATCTCTGGCAGTGCGAGGAGTCACTCCGCCCTTCTACAATATGTACAAACAAGGACTAATCGACAATTATGTGTTCTCCTTCTACATCAATCCCAACTCAGACGCCACGGAGGCTGGTCAGGTGATATTTGGCGGATCAGATCCGGAGCTTTACAGGGGCAACTTCACCTATCTTCCCGTCATCGAGATGTTCCACTGGCAATTCCACATGGATGCTGTTCTCGTGGGCAGCCAAGCGTTCTGCGAAGGAGGCTGCGAAGCTGTTGCAGACACAGGAACCAGTCTCATTGGTGGACCATCAGCAGAAATTGCACGCATTCACACACTTCTCGGCGCCGAACTGAATCGATTTGGGGAATTTGAGGTCAATTGCAGTAGTCTTCCTAATTTGCCCAGCCTTCGCTTCATCCTCGCTGGTCAGACATTTGAAGTGCAAGCCAGGGATTACTTTGCCGAGGTCAGAATATCAGCGACATCAACCATTTGCATATCTGGTTTAATGGGAGCCGACATTCCACCGCCAACTGGGCCTATTTGGATTCTCGGTGATGTATTTATCAGACAATTTTACACAGAATTCGATCTGGGAAACAATCGTGTCGGATTTGCAGAAGCCATTTAACACATGTCTTTTACGACTCTATTGGTTTCTATGTGCTTCTCAAGTAAATGTTTAGCTCAATTTGTGGGACAATAAAGAATGCATTTCACGAACACTGAATACGAATAATGCTTTTCTTCCTATTCAAATGCCAGACCGGCCAAATTGACGATGGAGATTGTGCAAGTTTCCGCAGTGAGTCTCAGTTTCCTTGGTCAATGTCAAGATCAGGAGCACATTTACGTAACTCTCAGTGTGATAAATCTCCCACATTTGTTTGTCAGTCGACAATCTGTAAACATCAGATTGGTGAAAATAAAAATGAACTAAAATTTGGCAAATAAAATGCACAAAGTAATCATATTTGTGAAAAGTGTATTTTGTGTATTCGAAATTTTAACAAATATGTCTCAAACCACTATTAAATCCTTTCCAAGTCATCAGTGATTTTTTATGTAAAAATATATCTCAAAATTCGATTTCATTAAAAAGAATTTACACTCAGAATCTCCATTCGTTACATTTCTCTCTGCATGGCGGTTTGACAGTGAAATTTGAACTTCGCTGCCGCTCCAGTGGCGCTCATCAGAGGGCGCAGTGAGAAAAATCATCTGTGATGATTTGACAATTTGCGTTCTGAGCGGTATTGTTGTGCGTGTTTCAGATAGAATATTCGCCATAAATAAAGCAAGTACCAAGTGAATAAGTCGCAAAATGGTATCAAAGGCAGTGACTGTGCTTCTTGCACTCTGTCTCACGGCCGTGAGTGGGAAATTATTGCGGTAAGTTGCGAAAACACCCTCATACAAAATGCATCGCAAAATCCCTGCATTCCTCGCACATTTAATTGAATTACGACGCTTTTCACGCACAGCGACGCTGTACGAGGGAGAAAGACTTTCTCCCCGACCACAGAGTGTCTGTGGTGGTAAAGAATATATAAATAAACGGCCCATAAGTGGGATTAGTCATCCACAAACAGCGCAACGATAACAAAAAAAGAACATGGCGATTTGGGGGTTTTTTATCAAAGCAAATTATCATAATTTCATTCCCTCTTTCCAGGATTCCTCTGCACAAGGAGGAAACTGTGAGGAGTCACTTCACTTCAGTGGGAACTGAGGTGCGGCAAGTGACCATCAAAGCCAACACCGGAGGCCCAGCGCCTGAGCCTTTGTCGAACTATATGGATGTGAGAATTCTTCCAGAAACTCTCAATGAGGAAAGAAAGAAAATATGAATGATTTTTCATCCTTTGCAGGCTCAGTACTTCGGAGCGATTTCCCTTGGAACTCCGCCGCAGAGCTTCAAGGTTGTCTTCGACACAGGATCATCAAATCTTTGGGTGCCTTCGAAGAAGTGTCGCATTACAAACATCGCTTGCAGTGAGTGTCTTTCAATTCTCTTTATATTCGCTTCTTCTCGTGATAAGAAAGCAATGTTTTCAATATCATGTGATTGGCTCGTCGTTTGTTGACCTATAAGAGTTATTTTTCCATCCCGCCAATCAAAGAGATTTGTGGGAAATTATTTAATTAACGACCACGGTCAAGCCGAAATCCCTGCATGATTCAGAGGCTTTTCAATGTTCTTGCGGTTGAATGTTTGTCAACTCGTCACTCTTTGGCCAATTTGTGCCAATTGAATGGCAATTTGTGACTCATTCTCTGGTTAATGCATTTTTTTCGTCCACCCTAATGAGATGTTATGACCTCTGTCGCTTATCAGCTGAACAGAAACTGACTGGAGAATATCTTCTCAATTAAATAATTGCCTTTGCAGTGCTTCACAACAAGTACGACTCCACAAAGTCCTCCACTTACGCCCAAAATGGAACTGCATTTGACATCCGATATGGCTCAGGAAGCTTGTCTGGCTTCCTCTCCGAGGACACACTCAATGTGAGTGCATTGAAGTACTTCTCTGGGTGAAAGGGTCAACAATTTGTCTGATTTTTTGCAGATTGGCGGCATTGACATCCAGAAGCAGACGTTCGCCGAGGCCGTGAGCGAGCCTGGATTGGTTTTCGTGGCTGCGAAGTTTGACGGAATCCTGGGATTGGCCTACAAATCCATCTCCGTGGATGGCGTCGTGCCGCCGTTCTACAACATGTACAATCAGGGTCTGCTTGACCAGCCCATCTTCTCCTTCTACCTCAATCGCGACCCCAAAGCCGCCGAAGGCGGTGAGATCATCTTCGGTGGCTCCGATCCGAAGCACTACAAGGGCGACTTCACGTACGTGCCGCTGGACAAGAAGACCTACTGGCAGATCACAATGGACGGCCTGACGGTGAATGACAAGAAGTTCTGCCAGGGTGGATGCAAGGCCATTGCGGACACCGGCACCAGTCTCATCGCCGGCCCCACGGCCGAGATCTCTGAACTGAACAGACTGCTGGGCGCCACTCCCATCCTCAATGGCCAATACATGGTGAACTGCGAGAGCATTCCCAATCTGCCCAAGCTGCAGTTCATTCTCGGTGGCAAGGCGTTCGAGCTGGAGGGCAAAGACTACGTGCTGCGAATTGCACAGATGGGCAAGACTATTTGCCTCTCGGGTTTCATGGGCATCGACATCCCGCCGCCAAATGGTCCACTCTGGATCCTCGGGGATGTCTTCATCGGGAGATACTACACAGAGTTCGACATGGGCAACGACCGTGTTGGCTTCGCAGAGGCTGTGTAAGAACCACACAAGATCAAATAAATATAAATAGAGAGATTCTCACAGAACAAAGACACAAGTGTCGAGCGTGTGCCTAGATTGTGGTCAATAAATTGCTGAAAAACCATGCTTTATATTTACAATCAGATCTCCATTTACCAGAGAGACAAGGAATGTTAAGTAGGTACGTAAAATTTGCAGGAGAAGCCTGAAAGGCACTATTCTAGCTAGTCATGGATAAAATCTGGAATCCTCAAGAGAGTATCAGAGTGTTCGATTAGGCACTCCCGGCACCGTTGCTGCTCAGCGCCATCCGCTGCATCTGCCGGATCACCGTGGCCGCGTGGTAGGCCTGCTTCCAGCGTGACTTGGCGAAGTTCTTCTTCAGTTGCTCAGCCACAGTGTCGTGGATGTTCCTGCTGCTGGCCGTGTTGCCGGAGATCCAGGGATGCGCCAGCGCCTGCTTGCACGTGTAGCGCTTCTCCACGTCCACACACATGAGATGCCTGATGAACTCCTTCGCGCTCTCGCCAATCTCATCCCAGTACGGCGACTCGAACTCAAAGTCGCCCTTGAGGATCTGCGCGAACAGATTGGCGTCGTTCTCGTCGTAGAAGGGTGGATAGCCACATAGGAGGATGTAGCTAATCACCCCAATGCTCCACAGGTCGACCGGCTTGCCGTAGGGCTTCTGCGCCAGCACCTCGGGCGCCACGTAGCCGGGCGTCCCGCACGCGGTCACCATCACGCCGGACTCCTCCAGCTTCGACAGTCCAAAGTCACTGATCATGATTTTGCTGTCGTCAGCAGGCGAGTGGTAGAGCAAATTCTCGGGCTTCAGGTCGCGATGCACCACGCCCTGCTCGTGCATGTACTGCACCGCCTCCAGGACCTGCTTGATGAGCCCCGAGGCGTCCTTCTCCGTGTAGCTGCCCTTCTCCACGATCCTGTCGAACAACTCACCGCCCGTCACGAGCTCCATCACGAGGTAGACTTTCACCTTGTCCTCGTATGTCTCCAGCAGCTGCACGATGTTGGGATGCGTGAGCCCGCTGCCCTGATTGGCACTGAAGCGCCTCAGCACCCTGATCTCATTCTCCAGCGAGTCCTCCTTGCCCTTGAGCTCCTTCTTGTCGATGATCTTCACGGCCACCAGTCGACCCGACCCGTCGCGCGCCTCCGCCACACGCACCTCAGAGAAGGCTCCCTTGCCCAGGAGCTCCTTGAGCACGTACTTATCTTCGATGGAGGGCACCTTCTCGTTGGCATCTCGGGTGCACTTGTTGGTTTTCTTACTGAACAGCGGCATGCTGTGCTCATTCCTCACGCGACGTCCCTGGAGAGTTCACTAACGCGCACGCGATCACGCAGATCAGGGGCTTGTGATCACCGTGATAAGGACACTTTTGACCGCAGAAAGTCATTCAGCAGCCACAGCAGCACACCAGAGGGCGCTCATGAGGTGTTAGTACTAAAATTAATATTTTTTGAAAAGAAACTGCTCTGGAGTTTTCCGTTTTCCGTGTGGAAAACTCAAGCTTCAAATTCAAGCAGAAAAACACGCAGACGTAATATCTTACCTCTTATTTATTTGAATTTATACTCTCTTAATGATTTTATTCTCCTTGGTAGAAAACAAATTAGGATTTCCCGAAACCGCCCATTAGATTACTTAAGCCGCCGGCTGCGCCTTGCTGGAGCTGTCGCATCATGCTCTGCAATCTGAAAGAGACCAGCAACGCTTAGTGTCCTGTGTAATCCTTGCGCCTCGGGCGCTTCCTTACCCTGACATGCCGCCCATCTGCTGCAGCATCCGCGGATCGATCATCTTCGCCATCTGTTGATTGAGTTTGGCCATTTGCGTGGGATTTACGTTCTTTGCCATGTCGCCGCCCTTGAAGAGTCCCTTGATGCCGCCCATCTTCTTCACCACCGCCGCGAACTTCGTGTACTGCGCTATCAGCTCCTTCACCTCGCGCTCCGTCACGCCCGAGCCCTGAGCCACGCGCACCACGCGCGTGTGCTGCTTGCTGAACAGCTTGGCGCCGTCCCGATTGTCCAGCTCGCCGTCTGACATGCTGTCCATCATGGTCATGAGACGCTTTATCCTCGCCATGGACTCCTGCTCGCCACCCTTTGTCATGAAGTCCTGCGAGAAGCCCGGAATCATGCCCATGATCTGCGAAAAGGGGCCCATCTTCATGATGTTCTGGAACTGCTCGTACATGTCGCGGATCGTGAACTGGCCATGCTTGATCTTCTCCAGCAGCTCCTCATTGTCGTCCAGCTTCAACTCGTTCACCTTATCAATCAGACCCTCAATGTCGCCCATGCCGAGAAGTTTGCTGACGAAAGGCTTCGTCTTGAAGGGCTCCAGATCATCGATGTGCTCTCCTGTGCCGATAAAGATGATGGGACTGTTTGTAGCAGCGACACTGGAAGACCAAGGAAGCATTAAAGCTACTGTATGAGTTCCGAAACACGAGTTGGCAACTGAATGAAAACCATTAACTTCAATTGCCAATCACGATCTCAATGTCGCCAATACTCACGCAGAAAGCGCTCCTCCTCCTTTGGCGTGTCCATCCAACTTTGTGATGATCACGGATCCGATGTCGACTTTCTCCTTGAACGCCCTGGCTTGAGCCTCGCAAGCCTGTCCAATTGTGGCGTCCATCACGAAGATAATGTTGTCCGGTTGCTGAAAAAACACACCAAATCATCTCACTCCAGAGCCCAGGAAAGGAGACAAGGAGAAACTCACAATGGCCGTGGCGACTGCCAACATCTCCTCGAAGAGAGACTCCTCCTGCTTGTGTCGACCGCTCGTGTCCACGATGATCATCTCGAAGCCCTCCTTCTTGAACATCTCCACGCCGTCCTGCGCAATCACCACGGGATCCACTTCGGTGTAGCTGCCGTAGAAGGGGATGCGCGCCTTCGTGGCGTTCTGCTTGATCTGATCGTAGGCACCAGCACGGAAGGTATCGGCGCACACGAGGCAGGACTTCCAGTTCTTCTTCTGGTAGTGATAGGCCAGCTTCGTGCAGGTTGTGGTCTTCCCCGAGCCCTGCAAGCCCACAAACATGATGATGTTGGGGCGCGCCTTCACGGGCTGGTAGGGCTTCACGCCCGGATCCACCAGCTTCACGAGTTCCTTGAACACAGCGGACTGGATCATGCGCCTCTTGTTCAGTCCTCCTGCCATCTCGTCGAAGTCAATCACCGCGCGAACGTTCTCGCGCAGCTTCTTCACCAGCATTATGTTGACATCTGCCTCCAGGAGAGCCGCGCATATCTCCTTGAGCATCGAGTTCAGCACCTGGTGAGCGCGGAAAAGTGAGAGGTGGCCCACGAAAGTGAATACGTGGAGTCTGGCAAGGAGTCAAACTCACCTCCTCATTGATCACCGTCGCCTTGCTCAGCGACTGCAGCGCCGAGGTGATCTTCCGTCCCAAGTCTGCTAATACCATCCTGCTGCGTCACTAAGAAAGCCACATTCACGGGGAAAACAGGAGGAAAATATGGAGAGATTTTCACTGTCTGCAAAACATGCTCTATTTTGACACGAGAACTGCGTTGAGCCAAAACTCACGGCCGGAGGCGGCGGAATTTATCGCAAAAAACCACAATTGTGTTGACGCTTTTGCAAAATTGTCACGGCAAAATGTTCTTTGAGAGCAATTTGAATGAATTTCACATAAATTGATGCCTTTTCTCAGCAATTTCCAATGTAATTTTTGATTTTTCTAAATATCTCTGCGCACGACTCACAACTTTATCGTCCAAAGCGCCCCCTGCGCACCAGAAGCCGAAGCGTTGAATGTCAGTCTGACTGTGCCGTGCTGGAATTTTCAGTCCCCCAATTTCCCTTCTGCAGATGTTTCCCAGGTACACTGGCCAGGTAAATCCCCACCCAATCGATGCTGTAAGACGTCTTTCTCCCAGTTTTAGTTGACGTAACGCAGGAAGCTCCAGCGTGAACAGCTGTACGGATGAAAATGTGGCGATAGCATGAACGCCAGCTTCCGGACACGCAAAAAATCGCTAGGAAGTGTCCAGCGAGGACGCCAATGAGCCAGCCTGATTGCCATCTGCTCCTGCCTCAAGCCAGTGACCACACGGACGATAAGATGTACATTCGTGACTGGAGAAAAGCCCTCCGCACGCCGCCTTCGTACAAAGTGGGCAATCGCACTCTTCGCCTCCGCACGCACTTCACGTGGCTCCTCGTGGCTCTCGCGTGTCTCGTGCTGGTCCTGCTGTACGTGGGACCAGTGTCCAAGTACCAGGATACCGCGCCGAGTGTCAACTGGGCGGCCGCGCCCAGTCTCAATCCCACATACAACTTCACATATCCACTCAGTGCGCCGATCATCGCCAACGGGCTGCAGACGTATCGCATCGGGATCATCGCCGACCTGGACACGGAGTCCAAGAGTAAGACTGAGAGGAACGTGTGGCGGAGTTACCTCAAGAAGGGCTACCTCGCCTTCCATCCCACGAAGGAGACAGTCGTTGTGTCCTGGGACAAGGCAGAAGACACGGAGCTGGCCAGCAGCTATGCCCTGAAAGGTAAACGCCACATCTCCTGGCCACCCAAAGCTACGTGTCCCAATAAGAATGCCCGGAATTAACAATTGGCACACAGATAAGAAACTATATGTCGCTTTCCTTCCGACAACAGCCATCCATAAAATTCTTCCAAAGATAGTTCATTCCATTCTTTCAGATTACACAGATGTTTTTCTGTTTACACGCTTTTCACTCTTCAATCCCACACTATAATACAGTCAGCTGTTCAATAGAGAAAATGAGGAGAAAAGAAACAACCTCATCGTCTACACTCTTTCCTGTAACATCATTGAAATTTAATATTTTCACCGAGCTTCTGTTGAATTCTCACAGTGAAATGCGATGATACAGCGCCTGTTGTGGGAATTACGCGCTCTCAAGATTGCAATTAATTGCTAGAGGGAGTGGAAATTTATTAATTTTTTTCTCTTCTTCCTCACTTTCAGATCGCGGAATGGAATTGTCGGAGTTGGTGACGTTCAATGGTAAATTGCTGTCGTTCGATGATCGAACGGGGCTCATTTACGAGATAATCAATGGACGCGTGGCGCAGCCGTGGCTCCTGCTGATGGATGGCGATGGGCAGACAACGAAGGGCTTCAAGGCGGAGTGGGCGACCGTGAAGGATCACGTGCTGTACGTGGGCTCTATGGGGAAGGAGTGGACGACGCCCGAGGGGGATTTCGTCAACAACAACCCCATGTTTGTGAAGGTGGTGTCGCCGAACGGTGAGGTGCGCCACCTCAATTGGGTGAGCACGTTCAAGGCGATTCGCTCGGCGATGGACATCTCGTGGCCGGGCTACATGATCCACGAGTCGGGCATGTGGAGCCAATTGCAGCGCCGCTGGTACTTCCTGCCGCGTCGCTGCTCACGTGAGCCGTACAACGAGACGAAGGACGAGTTCATGGGGTGCAACGTGCTGATTGAGTGCGGCGAACACTTCAAGACGGTCCGCGTGACGCCAATTGGGGACACGCCGAAGCCCACGCACGGCTTCTCGTCCTTCAAATTCATTCCTGGCACGGATGATCGCGTGATCGTGGCGCTGCGCACGGAGGAACTCAAGGGAAAGACGTCGACATTCATCACGGCGTTCAGCGTGAGTGGGAAAGTGTTGCTGCCGGAGGAGAGAATTCCAACGGACTACAAGTTTGAGGGAATTGAATTTATCTGAGCATGTGATGATGATGGTGAGTGAAAGAACATTTCCTGTTTAGTGTGAATTTACCAACCCCAGTTGAGTGGCGAAAGAGAGGGTGAGAAGAAAAAGTTGATAAACTAGTATTCAGTATTTGCGCTGAGAGTGGCGAACTTTTGTGGTGTAAATAATTTGAGAGGGTGGAAAAAAAAAGTGCGCGTGGTTTACCAAAATGCTGTTCATGAGGGCAGACCTTCAGCTGAATAAAATATTCTCAATTGCAATCTCAGACTTGTTTGTGTTTTTCCGTGAAGGATGTCAGAGTCAGAAGTGGAAAAACTCTGGCTCGAGTGAGTGAAATTAATGTTGTGATACGAAAAGTTACAAAATGCATTTCAATTTCACGCTAACATAACAAAGTAGTAAATTGCTTATAGACTAATATTTTTTTTATGTCTACACACGATTTTATCTCACTATTGGATCCTTTTTATTGATCAGAGTATAAAAAACACAATTTCCCCCCAAGGAAACGCCATCAATTGTGTGCTGCTGTGAAAATTTTATAAGTTCACACATAAACATCCCAATGCAATGCAGCTCAACACTTGAGGAAAATCAATACACAAACGTCTCCACAGGCTTTTCTTCTTGGATATTTGTCTATCTTTCCACCACCGCGAGCGATGCATCGATCGGTGTGGGCCAAAAAGGAGAATTTGATGACGCTGCACAGTCGGAGGGAATTAATTGGGTTTTAATGTGTGCGGATGATTTTGAATTGCGTGGGTGAACGGATCGAAAAAAAATCTCCCCTCCCACTCTTCTGGGTTTTCTTTGCCCGTAAATCTCGGTTGGGAAACGGATTTAGAAGACAACCTCACACCCACTCGCGCTGAGAGATGTTCTCAAATGTTTTGAATGCTTCTGTGTTTCTGGAAAATGGAGAGGAAAAGTGCGCCGAAAGGAGATTGAAAGGTGTGTGGAAATTTCATGTGGCGCGAAATCCATGAGAGCGCCCACCCAAAATAGCACGGAGTGTGAGTGAGAGAGCGTGATGTAACGCGTGGAGAGCAGAGGTGGACAATTGACGACACGCCGACGTTGTTTACCTCAAATCAACAGGAAACATGTGCGAAAATCATGGTGATATTTTGGCAGTTTCAAGACAAGTTTCAAGATCACGATTTGGTGTTCTGAATTTAAGTGGAAAACCTTGAAATCAAAAAGGTTTTCTGTCCATTATTTGATTAATTCTTCCAAAAATTAAACTATTCACTTTACTTTGCAAATTATTTTTGAGTATTAAAGAAGGTTTTCAGTGAAAATTGAAGGTAAATTCTAGAATAAGTGAGAAAAATTTGACCGTTTTTCATGTTTCAGTAAATAAAAGAACGTTTTTCAGACAGAGTGAGAAAAATGACTAAAGGATAAATTACTTTTCCGATCAGAACTTTGCTATTCTCTTCGAAAACTTTTCTTATAAAAGTCCAATCATTTTCCAATTGGACCGAGAAACACATTTTGGCACACAAAGTGTAGACAATTGCGCCGAGAGTTCCCATCTCTAGCGAGAGAGAGACGAGAGCAATTGATTTAAAAATCAATACCTCGGCTCTTCGTGGTATAATTCCACTTCATTCGCTGAACTTGTGTCACGGCGAGCAGCTCGCAAGTCGCGTGGTTGTCCCGGAAGAGTGTCTCAGCATCCCAGAAAGACTGTATTTTTTGTGCTGGCTGCGAAGCATGCCCGGCTGCGGAAGGTAGTGAGGCGGAGCAATGAGCGACAGACGAGACGATGGCCAGGAGGAGGGCGACTGGGAGTACGCCAAGGAGGGAATCGCGCTGTGGCTGAACAACAAGCCCGACGAGGCGGAGCAGCATCTGCACAGGCGAACGGACAATCTGCAGACCATGATTGCCTACACGTTCATCAACTGCATGGTGAGTCATTGGGAAACCTTGGACAGAGTGGAGGAGTGACTGAGAGTGGCTTTTTTGTGTCCGGCAGAACGCTGTGATCTCATTTGAGATGGAGAAGATCGAGCGGGCTCAGCAGGTGTTGCAGAGCGTTGAGCAACGGTGCGGAGGCAATCAGAACGGATGGTTTCAGTCCGTGAAGTCTATCTTCTTCGGCTCCAGCGACGCGCCAAAGTCGCTGGCGCTGCGCCTGGAGACGCAGATCATCTTGGCGGACACGCAACTCTGCTCGGCGATACTCACGTTCCTCACGCAGGATCTCAGTGGCTACATGAAGGGCATCTGGCTGCTGAAGAAGGCCTGGAATGAGTACCAGCAGACGCACACGGAGCTCGTGAGTCTGTATGGGCGTCTGAAAGCGCGCAGGAGCACTGAGAATGCCGTGGCCAGGCGGCCCAAGTACGGAATTGTGCAGAGCGTGAGTGAGTATCTGCTGGGCAACGCCTTGTCGGCACGCTTCTTCGAACGGCCAGCCGCCAAGATGCCGCGGAGCAAATCCACAGGACACAATCTCTCCACAGCTGCTCCGGTTGGCGCCCAGAATCCGTCCAACAATAGTATTAGCATGAGAACTAGTCAATCCGCCGAGTTCACGGCGGCTAATCCTCTGCCGGACATCGATGTGGCCACAGTGGAGCGCCTCATGGGCGCCGTGAACTTTGGCTATGGCCTCTTTCAGCTCAGTGTCTCCCTCCTGCCGCCCAACATTCTCCGCATGATCAGCTTCCTGGGCTTCGAGGGCAATCGCAACACAGGCCGCTCGTGTCTGGAATACTCGCGCTCCACGGACGACATCCGAGCGCCACTAGCCACACTGGCGCTCCTCTGGTACCTCACCATAGGCACCCAAATCTTCGCGTCCACAGATCTGAGCACCAGGGACGCTTCTCGGGACGCCGCAGCCATCCTGGCGCAGACAGACGAGCAGTACGGCTCCTCGTCGCTGCACCTGTTCTTCAAGGGACGCGTGGCGCGCATGAGGAGCGAGATCGACAGCGCTCTCGAGTACTTCCAGCAGGCGTATCGCGTGGCAGCCCAGTCGGAGATGCGCCTGCTGTGCCTGCACGAGGTGGGCTGGTGCCACTTGATCCGGCTGGAGTACGACGACGCCATGGAGGCCTTCCACTGTCTCGGGCACGCCACGCAGTTCTCCAAGAGCTTCTTCATCTATCTCGTGGCCATTTGCCAGGGCGCCAGCGGCAAATTCGATGACCTGCCCATCCTCAGGACTGAGCTACAGCATCATCTGCAGGCGACCACGGCCAAGGAGACGGAGATTCAGCGCTTCCTCTCCGGTCGCCACAGTCGAATGCCCGAGGAGAGCGACGAAGCCACCTTCTGGCGCTACCTCATCTTCGAGATGCTCTTCCTGTGGAACACTCTGGAGATCTGCAGTCCTGCCGTGCTGGACGCCATCGCGGACGACTGTGCCAAGCCGCAGGGGACAATAACAGAGCCTATTCCGGGCGTTGCGAAGCTGATCCTCGGCACGTGCCACGAGCTGCGCGGACGACCGTCGGACGCCATCCAGGCGTACCGCGAGTGCATCGAGATTCGCCGGGAAGTGTCCACGGAATTCCTCCACATTCCCGCCTTCGCCCATGTGCGCCTCGCGCTGCTGCTTCTGGCTCACGGCGGCTCGCAGGAGCGCGAGGAGGCACGGAATCTGCTCAGGAATGCCCAACAGTTCAAGGGCTACGACTTCGAGTGTCGCCTGAGTGTGCGGATCAACGCGGCTCTGAAGCAGGTCGGAGCTTGATCGGCAGCCGTTCTGATCTGCGCGGGATGATCAGTTGTGGTTTCTTCGTTGTGAACTTACACGTGGAAATTGGCCAGAAATGCAGGACAGACAGATATTTAACACAGTGATATTATTATGAATTTCTAGTCATCCAGAAGCTGCAGAGTTGAATTCCAATGTTTTAGAGAAAGTGCGTTAGTTCTAGGTTTTAAAGATCTGTTAAGTTTGCTCCAATGATTTCTTATGGTTTCAAGAGAAGGAAAAGGGACCAAAAATGTATTTAAACAATTGTAAGTTTCCCTGTAACTGAGAACGTGTTAATTACCGAATTACTTTGAGCTGAACGCAGTTTTATATCAGTTCCTAATTGTTTTGTACAGATATTTTTGTGTACTTAGAAAATCACTAGTTTAATAGAGCGGAATAGAAGAAGAGTCGAATTTCAGGGCCAATTTCCACGAAAACTCGTTGTCTTTACTTAATGCACTTGAATTAATTGTTTAACGTTTAACATTTATTATTGACTTTTGGAGTCAACAAAAATATATCTATTTTCACTAAATTCTTTACGATGCTGTATGTATATTTTCACCATTGTAACACTGTTTTAGACTCAACACTTACACGTTTTAAAATACTTTAGGAACTTATGTACTTATAATAATCCTATGAAGTGAAGAAGATGAAAACCTGAGTTGACTTTTTTCTTGATTGTTAGATAGAAAAATAATTCACGAAGGCTAATTTGAGAAACAAACCTTATGAGTAATAAATACATAGATAAATACACGACTTTTTGCCCAAATTTGTTTTATTTTATTTAAAAGTCTTCTTTAATAACTCATTAATTATACGCATAATTATCTAATTTCTTTGCTAAATAATTACGTATTAATTCGTTAAAATTCAAAATCAGTAAAACTCTCCAATCCGTTTAACGATCTTAACACATGTTGACTTTTATAGAATAGCGCCCAACTTTTTCCACAGCCAACTTCACTCTGCTGCTCGCCATCACATTCTCGACGGAGTTTGACACGAGTGCACGTCCCGAGAGGTAAAAGTAGCTGAGAAAAGGATGTTTTCCGCGATAAATAGCGCGGTGCGCGTCGCCACCAAGCGCGAAACTGGCAAATTCATCTCCGGACTCGTGCAGTTCAGTAAGTATTGGCCTGATTGCGGTGATTTTGAGGCTATACTCGCGCCCGGCATTACGTAACGCGAGGGTGGGTGAAAAAAGCGAGCCACCGCCTCGGGGGCGCCACCAGCGTGCGCCCGGGATGGCCAGGGGGGTTCTGGGGAGTGGCCTGCTGGGTGTTGTGGCGTGAAAGGGACTTTTCCGCAGGTGAAATGAGAGGTTTCAGTTATGCAACCATGTGAACTTGTCCCGTTTCAGATCGCCAGTATGCGGCCAAGACGGCTGCCAAGGCTGGCACCACAAACGGACGCGTGGTGGCCGTAATTGGTGCCGTGGTGGACGTGCAGTTCGACGAGAACCTGCCCCCCATCCTCAACGCCCTTGAGGTGGAGGGACGCAAGCCCAGGCTGGTGCTGGAGGTGGCGCAGCACTTGGGAGAGAACACCGTGCGCACCATCGCCATGGACGGCACGGAAGGTCTGGTGCGTGGCCACAAAGTGCTGGACACCGGCTCCCCCATCAAGATCCCCGTGGGCGCCGAGACCCTGGGCCGCATCATCAACGTCATTGGCGAGCCCATCGACGAGCGCGGTCCCATCGACACCACCAAGTTCGCGCCCATTCACGCCGAGGCTCCCGAGTTCGTGGAGATGAGCGTGGAGCAAGAGATCCTGGTGACGGGCATCAAGGTGGTGGATCTGCTCGCCCCGTACGCCAAGGGAGGCAAGATTGGCCTGTTCGGCGGCGCCGGTGTGGGCAAAACTGTGCTCATCATGGAGCTGATCAACAACGTGGCCAAGGCTCACGGTGGTTACTCCGTGTTCGCCGGCGTGGGCGAGAGGACGCGCGAGGGCAACGATCTCTACAACGAGATGATCGAATCCGGTGTGATTTCCCTCAAGGACAAGACATCCAAGGTAGAGACTCCATTTCAACATTCCCTTTGCGTTGCTCTAATTCTGCGCTCTCTTCTTTCCAGGTGGCTCTTGTGTACGGTCAGATGAACGAGCCCCCAGGCGCTCGTGCCCGTGTCGCTCTGACAGGACTCACTGTAGCCGAATACTTCCGTGACCAGGAGGGTCAGGACGTGCTGTTGTTCATTGACAACATTTTCCGTTTCACTCAAGCCGGTTCCGAGGTGTCCGCTCTGCTGGGTCGTATCCCATCTGCCGTGGGCTACCAACCAACCCTGGCCACTGACATGGGTAGCATGCAGGAGCGCATCACCACCACCAAGAAGGGCTCCATCACGTCCGTGCAGGCCATCTACGTGCCCGCTGACGACTTGACTGATCCCGCTCCGGCCACCACCTTCGCTCACTTGGACGCCACCACTGTGCTGTCGCGAGCCATCGCCGAGCTGGGCATCTACCCGGCCGTGGATCCCCTGGACAGCACCAGCCGTATCATGGATCCCAACATCATTGGCCTGGAGCACTACAACATCGCTCGTGGCGTACAGAAGATCCTGCAGGACTACAAATCGCTGCAGGACATCATCGCCATCCTGGGTATGGATGAGTTGAGTGAGGAGGACAAGCTGACTGTGGCGCGCGCTAGGAAGATTCAGCGCTTCCTGTCGCAGCCCTTCCAGGTGGCCGAAGTGTTCACTGGCCACGCCGGCAAGCTGGTGCCCCTCGAGGAGACCATCAAGGGCTTCAGCAAGATCCTGGGCGGCGATTACGATCACCTGCCCGAGGTGGCCTTCTACATGGTGGGCCCCATTGAGGAGGTTGTGGCCAAGGCGGAGCGCCTCGCCAAGGAGGCCGCCTAAGGAGGACACGGCACGACGACCCGGCCACACTCTGACGCCTCCCACGGAGTCTGACCCCGTCGCCGCACAGCCTATAGTCCCGGAATGTCACTTTTTATTTCGATAATATTCTCAATAAAGTAGTTTACTGGAACCACGAGAGGCGTTTGAAATTGAATTCAATGTGATTTTCCTTTGAATCTTCTCTATATTTCCACTCTCTCTTGACACGGAACACATTTTAAATGATCTTAGCGTTAAAATATAGACAATCCTTTGATATCTAGTCGTGGCAAGTGGTGTTCTTAGAAGAAATCCTGTCAGCAAAGCAAAATCCTCACTGTCATTATTATTATTCCTTTAATACAATATAAGGGAAAGATGAAAGTCCACGAAATTAACTTATACACGTTAAAATAAAAGCCCACCGCCAGTCGCTTCAACTCTTTTTGCGCTTCCGATTCTTCCTGTAGCCCTTCCCATACCAGCCGGCCTGGATTTTTGGCTCGCGCGTCTCGCCGTCGAGCTTTGGGCGCTTCTCCTCGCGCCCACTCGCCTCGTCGGACACACTGTTCTCCTCCTCGACGGAAGACGTCTTCGCCGGGCCCTCCTCCTCCGACTCCTCCTCGTCCGTGTAGTCGCAGCACTCGCAGACGATCACCTTGCCATTGCGCCTGGCCGTGACTTGGAACTCGGGCTTCCACGCCGTGTAAAATTGGCACGCCAGCTCGCCGTAGTTGTCAAAGCAGAACTCGCACTCCGCATTTGTGGCGCCCTTGATTTGGAATATTGGGATGAAGATCGATCCCCAGAGATCCATGTCCGATGGCGGAGGATTGATAATACTGTGCAGACCCGAGTAGGCGTAGTTCGTGTCATACCAATACGGCAGTGAGCCCTCGATGGCCTTGTAGTAGTTCAGGAGGTCCTTGTAGTACTCTTCGGGGGATTTCTCTGCAAAAGGAGACACAAAACACACACACGATATTACGAACTGACCTAGCAAAATAATCAAATCCGCCGCGTGAAGCAATTTCTGCCCCCAAACAACACTCTCTTGGCTTATCTAATCATTTTCCCCTAATATTCACTCCTTATCTCTGTGCAAATTGCGCAACACTGTAAAGTGATAATTCTGCAATTCTCTCGTGTCAACTCACCAACTTCCTGCGATGCTTGCTCTGCACTGTCAACGGACGCATTCTCGCCAATTGGAAAGTGAAATCTCCTCTCTGACTTCAGGTGGAAATTGCGCAAATTCCGCAGAGCGTTGCTAAACTGTATTTTGGCCACATTCAGCAGTTGCTCTCCAAAGAGTTCCGTGCTGCTTCTATCACAGGCTGTCGCGTCACCGCCACTCGCGTGCTGCGCGAGCATTTCCGGCAATTGGGAGATCACCACAGGACTCGACTGTGTTGCTTCAGGAGATCGATGTGTGATGTTTGACTCATTCGGACTCTCCGGCTTGCAGCTCAAGTCCAGCGGAGTGTTGGACAAACTGGACTCTTCAGGAGGATCAACTGTCTCACAGACGCGCTCCTCCTTCTCAGTCTCTGGGCTTTCATCTCTTGGTTCACCTGAGTTTTCATCTAAACTACTTTCCTTACACCTAGAAGTCTTATCGTATTCTACGCTATTTACTGCTTCGTCGTCTCCCTTCGGAGACTCTTTCTCTTTCTCCTCCTCCTCATCGGCAATCTCATCCTTAATCTCACTGGTCTCCCGTGGAACTGACGCACTGGATTCGGGTTTAACGTCCTCCTCCACTTTCACATCACTGGGTTCCACTTTCACCACCACTTCTTCCGGCCTGTCGGACAGGTTGCTTGAGTGTCTATCACTGGAGAGATCCAAGGCGTTCTGGGAGTCATCCCACGACGCCTCCAGAGGCTTCTCCTCTCCCTCCTCGGCGCCCTCCAGCTCATTCTGTGACTTGAGCATCGGTTGACTCACCGTGTGCAACTCCAGCGGATTCAGGAGGCTGGCGTGCGTGAAGATGGGATCTTTCAGTCTCTTGTACTCCGGCACGGCAATGTTCAAGTGCTTCATCACAAGCTGCATCACCGCGTCGCACTTTCCGTTGATCTTCAGCGCCGCCACATTGTCTTTGGGTGTCCACTGCAGGTTCACGATGTACAGCTTCGGTCGCTTCTTCGCCGGCCGATCCATCGCCCAAAGCCACGAGTACTTCTTCAGTACCTTGAGACTGGAGCCCAGGCACAGGATCACATCGGCCTTCTCCGACTGCGCGCACGCTCCCGCCCAGTTCAGCGGCCACCGCAGGCAGCCGCGCTCCCCGAAGTGCACAATCGTGTCCACCAGCGGCTTCCCGCACGTGTGGCAGCGCCTCATGGTCTTGTGGTTGTACCGCGCCGTGAGTTCGGTGGTGTCAAAGAGACGCCAGTACTCCAAATTAGGCTTGCAGTGCTTGCACGCCTCGATGTACATGTTCCCGTGCACCTCGGACAGGGAATTCCTGGGCAGGCCACTCCGCAGGTGCAATCCATCGCAGTTCTGCGACACTACGAAGCGCAGCATCTTCCTCCGGTGCAGCTCATAGAGCGCCATGTGGGTGAAAGTGGGCTCCGCCAGTGACAAGTCGTGCTTCCCAATGTCTTTGCCTTGCGCCAGCAGCGTCCAAATCCCATTGCTGCCGCGATAGTCAGGAATCCTCGCCGACGTGCTGATCCCTGCGCCTGTGTAGCAAATGAGGTGGCGCGCCCGCGTAATGGCCTCGGCCAGCCTCTTCGCCTTCGTCTCAATCACATCCGGCGGATCTTCCTTCTCCTGGATGCGCTCCTTGTACAGCTGCACCTTCTCGCGCCTCTGCGAGATCTCCTTCACCGCCTCCTTGCATGACTCCAGCAATCGCGTCTCCTCCGCCGTGCGCAGCGTCTCACACTTCTGCAGGATCTTGGACACCTGCCGAAATGTCGCGAAGAGAGAGAGAGAGAAAGGTAAATAAAGCCCCCCAACATAACCTCACAAAGCACATCAGCTCACCTTCCGGAGTGAGTCCCTCTTCTTCTTCTTCTCGCACTCCTCCTGCGGCTGGGCCGCCTTCCGCCGCGTGGGATAGTTGTCCTGCACGTACGGTTTTCCTTCGAATTTCCCCATTTTCCGCAGTCAACCAGATTCCTTCCACCATTGCACTCTTGGCCACGGAAAGCTCCCCTCTCGACCCGAAAGCACCCAACTGCACGCCTCAGTGCACTTCCGCTGGGGAATTCAGGCACTTATCCTGCTCACGGCCATCGACACACCGACTATTTCACCGTTCTACGCCGTTTTCCGATTAATTATTTGGGAAATTTACGAGTTTTTGTCACCTTCCTGGCTGCGCTTTTGTTTGTGTGCGTGTGTGGCCGCTTTTTTGACAATCCCACGGCACCCCAGTAAAACACACCCAGGGTCATTGTCCGTGGGACAGTCTGACTGTCCAGTTTGCTGTTGAGACGCAGAGTCAGATTAATCTACAGAGACCCCAGCATTGCTACGCCACTGCGTGAGCCATTGAACTTATGAATGAAAATATCATAAAGCCGTAAATCGCGCAAAGCAAATTAGTCGTGGCCGTGCTTTCCCATAAAACTGTGGAGTGTCCACTCGAGAAAATTCATGGCAATCAACCAGGAAAGCGTCTCTAATCTCTCACAAGTCCAGAAAGGTTTCTTCTTATCGCGCTGAACATTTCCTTGGCTATATATTCGCTATATTCAAATGCAGAAAAAGTCGCTGAAAGGCCTCAGTCGTGTTTCGTCATCTCTCGCGTCAAGATGTATCTCAAGAAAGTTGTTGTTCTCCTGCTCACAGTGCTTCCAGCTTTCGGGAGTGTTCTAGACAATCGCGTGGATGACTGGGATGGATGTGCCCTGTCGCCAGCATTGCTCAAGGAGATCAGAGGATACGCTCCAGTCGTGGGGAAGATCATACAGAACATCGTGACAGAGGACTTCAAGGGCGAAACTTGGAGGAGTCTCAGTGAGTTCGTGGACAGATTTGGGCCACGAATGTCGGGCAGTCAGAGCCTGGAGGATGCCATCGACTACATGGTGGAGGAGATGAGCAAGGCCGGTCTGGATGCCTACACAGAAGAGGCCACAGTGACACACTGGAAGAGAGGATTCGAGAGTGCCACAATGTTGTTGCCGAGAAAGGCTAATATCCCAATTCTGGGCCTGGGCAGTTCCGTGGGCACCATGCGGGGTGGCATAATGGGAGAAGTCGTGGCTGTGGAGTCCTTCGATGAGTTCGAGACAATCCCCGAAGAGACTGTCAAAGGCAAGATTGTGCTCTTCGCCCCGAAGTGGGAATCCTACGGAAAGACAGTCAAGTACCGAAGTCTTGGGGCTTCTGTGGCGTCAAAGAAGGGCGCTGCAGCCGCTCTGGTGCGTTCGATCACGCCCTTATCACTGGGAACACTGCACACAGGCGATCAGGATTACCAGGAAGGCGTGAGGAAGATCCCAGTGGCCAGTGTCACAGTGGAAGACGCCACGAGGATGCTGAGGATGTACAGGAGAAATGAAACCATCAGAATTCATCTGGAGATGAATGACGAGGATCTCGGAGAAGTCAAATCTCGCAACACCATCGGCGAATTGAAAGGAAGGGAGAAGAACAACCCAGTGGTGGTGGTTTCTGGCCACCTGGACAGCTGGGATGTGGGCGTGGGAGCCATGGATGACGGAGGCGGAGCCTTCATCGCCTGGCACGCAGTCAAGTTCCTGAAAGCCATGGGATTGCAGCCCAGGCGCACAATAAGAGCCATTCTGTGGACTGGCGAAGAGCAGGGATACTTGGGAGCGAAATCCTACCGCGCCAACCACAGTCAGACTGAAAAGGAGGAGTTCAACTTCTTCATCGAGTCCGACACCGGCACCTTCACGCCAACTGGGATGGATTTCAGCGGCAACAAGGATGCCGAGTGCATCTTCCGTGAGGTTCTACAGCTCCTGGAGCCCCTCAATGCCACCCAATTCGCTACGCCAGTCGACGGCGGCCCGGATATCTCAGTGTGGACAAACAGGGGATTCCCCGGAGCCTCGCTGCTGAACAAGGACGAGAAGTATTTCTGGTATCATCACTCCAGCGCTGACTCGATGCTGGTGGAGGATCCAGACGCCCTGGACAAGTGCACAGCCGTCTTCGCGGCGGTGAGTTACGTGATTGCCGACCTGGGTATTGACATGCCAAAAGATGTTACTTCCTTGTAATTTATTTCGCGCGCTTCTTCGTCTTCCCATTAAACTTCTTCCGAGGCACATTTTGTTTCACTTTAAGCTGATTCTTCTTGATTTTCCGCCGCACAATCTGCTTCAGTTGGTGTCGTTTCTCCTGGAACTGGTCGCCTTCGGTGGCAGCGAGAGCCTGGAAGAAGCTCAGGCCTTCTTGGAGTCTAGCATCTCCTGTCTGAATGAAGAAACTCTCCCTAAAAATGCCTCTCTTGTTCTTCTTCCCGCCAGTTTTGCTCTTGGCGGAATCAATGGGAACTTTCTTTGTCTTCTTGGGATCCTTCTCATCATCCGACGAGTCATACTTGAAGCGCTTTCCCGCACTAGTCTTCCCAGGCAGTGTTGTGTTGGCGTAAGATTCTCTCTGGTCAGCTTCGCGGTCATCTTCATCTCTCCCGAGCATCTTCAGCAAACTGAATCCTCCGCTGTCGGCGTTGAATGACTGTTCGATGCCATTCGTGTTGATTTTGTAGAACTTTTCTGAAGACACCTGAGCCGGAACTTCTTCCCTCCTCAAGAGATCCTTCTTCTGCGGCAAATCTTCATCTTCAGGCTTTCTGATGTACTTCTCATGGTCCTTCTTCGTGGGATCGTACCTCAGCATGGTTTGGAAGGTTTTCTTGGGCTTTGACGAGGTCAGCGAATGTCCAACAACTCCTTCCAAGATCTCCAGTTGCCTCTTCCTCTCATCATCAACCTCTTCCACCGCTTTCTCTGCGTTTTCTTCACATTCTGCCTCGTCGCGGAAGTCATCAGTGAGAGCGAAACGCTTATCGCCCTGGAATTTCGCCTGGAGATTCAATAGTTTCTGCCCAGACGATCCCTGGAATTGCTGTCTGACGGAAAAATCCACATCTTCGTCTTCATCGTCGTCATCCAGCAGCTTCATCGGTTTTATCGTCTCCTCGCTGTCGCCAAACACAATTTTTCTTCCATTCTCAGCCTTCTGGCCACTCGTCAGAGCTGCTTTTATCGCGAATTTTTGCTGATTGTAGGTATTCTTCTTTCTACTGAGAGATTCCAGGCGTTTCTGCTCAGATATCATCGCCCTGGGATCTCTCTCTGTCGGCTCAGCACCGGAATTCTCTCCTCCGTTGCCCACAAACATCGGATCTCCGATAATTTTCAGCTTCCCATTGACCATTCTCGCTCCTTGGCCTCGCTTCTTCACCAGGAATGACTCCTCATCGTGTTCAGGCACATCATTTTTCTTCATTTCACCCGCGAAGGCATTCTTCCGGATGACAAACTCATCGGATTCTTCCTGCTTCTCCGCCTTTCTCGGGAGTTTCTTTTCCGCCTCCTCACTGGCAGCTTCTTCACGCTCCCGCTTCAGCTTCTCAAGGAAACTCTCTTTGGCCACGGACACTGTGAGGTAGTGTCCATGAAAGGCAATCTCACGGAACTCCTGGATACACTGTTGCACCATCGTGCTGGCCATTTCAATGGTCACGAAGGCGAACTTGCTGGACGAATTGTTGGCATTCTGCTTCTCTTTGATGTCCACCGACGAGACCTTCCCGTACGCACCGAATTCCTGGGAGAGCTCCTCCTCTGTCGTCTTCGGAGGTAAGTTTCCCACGAAGAGTCTCGTCATTTTGGCACAATTTTATCTGTTTGCACGAGAAATGCTTCGGAAAACAAAACCGCGTGCACGCTTACTTCACTGATTGACCGATAATACTTTACGCGTACTCAAATTAACATCAAATCAGCCGTAAAGTAATAAAGAGATATCGAAATACTGTAACAAAATACTTAACAGGTAATCAATGGAAAGAAATAAAAGTAACTATCGCTGCTATTGCGACATTAGTTGTATATTTTAATGGGTTTTGATTTGATAAAATTATCATGCGACACAATAAAATCAAGAACTTGCAGATGCAGAACAAGATATTTTACTCGCGTCTAAATTTCATGCAACATGTAATTTATTCCGTGTAGTAAATCAGCTGACCGCTGGCGAACGGCGGCGAATGCCTGACATGCAAGTGACGTGGATCCTCTGCAGCCGTGTGTAAACAAATAAAGTGATAAAACTTTGCGGAGGATTTTAGGACGCAAAAGAGGGCAGTCGGCGGCCAAGAGAGATGAACAGCATGGGATGGGCCATACTCTTCAAGATGGGATGCCTCTGCTCGCGCGAGAGCATCGTCATTAACGGCTCAAAGTACACAGTCTTGGAGCAAATTGCTCAAGGGTGAGTTTCTCTCTGGAGGATTGCCACAGCAGCTCTACCACAAAATCGATAATCTCACGGCTCTCTTGCAGGGGTTTTAGCATCATTGACCTCGTGGAGAACTCCACGACGAAGACCAAGTACGCCCTGAAGCGTATGACATGCCACAGTGTTGAGGATCAGCAGATAGCTCTGCGTGAGATTCAGATCAGCGCCTCAATCAATCACAGAAATATCATCAGCGTCGTTGATTACATGATTGACGGTATGAACACTTCCGGTGGTGCGTGAGCAGGCGCTCAAGGTCTCTCTTGCTTGCAGGCACTGCTGATATCGTGATAAACACAACCAGTCAAGTTTACATGGTGCTGCCGTACTACAAGAACGGCTCCCTGCATGATCAACTGAACCACCGAGCGCGCTCCAGGGATTTCATGAATGAGACTCAGGCGTTGCACATCTTTTTGGGTGTCTGCGAGGGCCTGAAAGCACTGCACGAAGCGAAACCCGATCCGATTGCTCACAGAGATTTGAAGACAGCGAATATTTGTCTGTCTGACACGATGGAGCCCGTGCTGGTGGATTTGGGTTCCGCCACGGAGGCCAGAGTGCAGATTTGTGGGCAGCAGGACGCCCAGAAGCTGCAAGATCTGGCGGAGGAGCGCTGCTCAATTGTCTATCGGGCGCCAGAACTGTTCAACGTCCAGAGTTACTGCATGATTGACGAGCGCACGGACATCTGGAGCCTGGGATGCGTTCTGTACAGTATTTGCTTCTTCAAGTGCCCCTTCGACGCTGTGTACGAGAAGGGTGACAGCGTGGCACTGGCCGTGCTGAGTGGGAACATCGTCTTTCCAGAGGACTCGCCGTATTCCCAGGACATGCACGACCTCATCGTCTTTATGCTGCGCCTCAATCCCATGGAGCGCCCCTTCATCTACAGTGTGATAGAGCGGGCGAATGATATCATCGCCAAGTCAGAGAGTCGCCTCTGATGTCCGCTCAGTGGTGCAATTGTAAAGATCGTCCTCTAAACCCAGAGAGAATTATATAAAGAAATTTTTGCTACATACCAATCGACTACATGAGATCGCACAGATATCGGCTCACGCTGAAGCCCACCATTTCGCCAATGCGCATGATGACGCTCACTTGCAGGCCGCAGACGAACCGCGCCGAGCCCTCCAGGAGGTTCTTGTCCGTCGTGGTGCGCGTGAAGAAGCCCAGCTCCACGAGGGTGGAGATCTGCGCCAGGAGATCGCACGTGAGGCACACCTTCTGGTCGATAATGGCGTGGAAGATGGCCAGCAGGCGATCCACAGAGAAGGTGGCCGGTCCCTGCAGCAGCATCGTCTTCTCAGACACCTTTGCCTTCGCATTGACACTCTTCAGGCGCTTCTTCTGCTTTCCGTGGTCCTTCACGAACAGCCGCTTGTCCTCCTTGGCGGGATTGTGGCTGGCCAAGTAACCCGCAATCAAGAGATACTTGGCGTAGAAGGGAAGCTCCACGATTTGGATGAAGTCTTTCATCTCACGTTTCTGAGAAATGAAGAAAAATGAGTAAATCATCTCTAAACAACGCTTCAAGAATTTGCATACTTCTGAGTTTTCAATTGAAGTCGCGTTGAGCCTTGTGTAGAGCGTCTTAAGGGAATCCTTGAGTGTGCTTGAGATGTTTCTCCACAGCATATTCACATTCCCAGCCGCGGAAGGATCGTGAAACACAGGCTCGCAGTACTTGTCGAAGCACTCCTCAGCCACCATTCTCAGCTGAATGAGATTCCTGCACACGCGGTAGAACATGTGCAGGAAGGCGTTCAAGTAGTTCCTGTAGAAGTTCATGTCGAACGATGAAATGATTTCGAGTCGACGGAGGAATTCTTCCTTGGAGATTTCTGGCTCGTTGCGCATCTTCTCCTTGAGGGCGTTTTGCATTCGCGTGAATTCCTTCAGGAGGATCGTCTCAGTCTGCTCCTTGCTGTACTGTGACACTCTGATGCGGATGATGGTGGGCAGGCCAGTCTTTGGGAGGAGCTTTTCGAAGGGAATCTGCCCCACAAAGATGCAACAAACATTGATTCCAGTCAGTTCTCTCAAGCGTACAAACGATGGCAGGATATTCATGTCCATGTCTCGCAGCTTCTCTGCATTCTTCAAGACAATTATCAGGGAATCATCAGCGAATTCTCGCCTGAGTTCCGAGATGAAGCTACGCATGTTTTCACACTTCACTCGAGGCGTGAAGGAGTTTTCGTAGCTTAATTCGTGGCAGCACAAGGAGTCGAAGATGTCCTCGAAGAGGAGCTTCGAACTGTAGCACTCCAGGCAATCGACGATGGCATAGCGAATGTTCTTGAGGTAGCGCAAGAGGGTGGAGATGATCACAGTCTTTCCTGAGCACGGCGGCCCGCAGATGTAGATTGCTTCCGGCAGGATTTCATCACTGTAACCCAGCAAATCGTACAGATTCTCCACCAGATCCTCTCTACAAGGATACTGACTGGTGATTTTTGGCAATAAACGCTTATACTGCATGGTAAACTGGTCAGGAGAATTGATCCACACTCAATCACAAAAGGCTCTGTTTTGGTTATGTTCATCCTTCCCGCGCAATTTCTTGTTTACCAACATGACAGCTGACGGCGAAATTTTTTGCTAGGAGAAAAACGTGTTTTGCTTGTTTGGCTGCCGCGAAAGTGCCTAAATCTCGTGTAAGATGTCCACAAATGTTCAAATTCGTCTCGCCAGGGATCGAGTGGACAGCGAACTGCTGTCCAGTGATAAAACACCGCGTCTGTACACACCGGGAGAAGTGATAACGGCTCAACATGGATATATGAGGTTAGATTTCCCTCTGGAAGTCTTCTGTCCAGGAAAACATTCTGATTCTCGGGTTTCTTGCAGAGGACATGGAACGTACATGGAGGGAGATGACATCAAAGCCTCCGTAGCGGGTGTGATGGAGAAGGTGAACAAGTTAATCTGCATAAAACCACTGAAAAGCCGGTATGTCGGAGAGATTGGCGATGTGGTTGTGGCGAGAGTCACTGAAGTCCAGCAGAAGCGCTGGAAAGTGGACACAAATTCGCGTCTAGACTCTGTACTGCTCCTCTCCTCAGTCAATCTTCCCGGAGGTGAGAATCTCTGGTAATGCTGTGCAGGAAAATAGACTGTAAACATGGATTTTTCAGGGGAACTTCGACGACGAGGAGTGGAAGATGAGCAGATGATGAGAAATTATCTGAAGGAGGGAGATCTGATATCAGCCGAAGTGCAGAACATTTTCCAGGATGGCAGCCTCTCCCTTCACACCAGGAGTCTCAAGTATGGAAAGCTCTCTCAAGGCGTTCTAGTTAAAGTATTTCCATCGCTGGTGAAGCGCTGCAAGACGCACTTCCACAATCTTCCCTGCGGAGCCACTGTGATCCTCGGAAACAACGGATTCATTTGGATATCGCCCAACACCGGCACAGAGGGCGAGGATGACGGAGGCTTCAACCAGAACCTGCAGGAATCCGTGACAAAGAGCGACCGGGAAGTCATTGCGCGACTAAAGAACGTCATTGGATCTCTGGCGGCGTCCAAGCTCATGTTGTACGACACCAGCATCCAGTATGCCTTCGAGGCCTCCCTTAAGTATGAAGTTCATGAGCTCCTGAACCAGGAGGCGATGTTCGATGTGGCATTCCTCACGCAGCATCGCCTGAAGCTCCACGAAGACTGACCTCATTCGCGCTTTGGTGACCGTTCCGGAGGTGAATTGAGCACACACACAAGCAAAGTACTGTTAAAGTGGAGTAGTAAACAATTGTCTTATCGCGTTTTTTACGCGTTAATAAGACCCGCTATAAGACGATTTTTGTATCTGCCGGGCATCCGGAGCCGCCAGCAAGGTCAGATTAATTGCTGCGAAGACCTCTCTCTACAGTGATATTGATTTGTTTTTGACAAGGAGCAGTTGGTGCATGAGAAAATAAGCCGAACGGGCGATAAGGCGAGCATTCGAGTGCATTTGCGGAATCAGTACGGCTGCTGAAGTCTGTGGGGATAGTGAAAATGGTGACGGTGGTGGAATCTTTTGAGAATCTCCTGCGCACGGCGCAGGATGTGTTTGTGAGGCAGTTTAAGGGATCTCCTGACGTTACTGCATGTGCTCCAGGACGCGTGAATCTAATTGGAGAGCACATTGACTACAACGATGGCTTCGTTCTGCCGATGGTGAGTGTTGTTTGCCAGTGAAACTGCTGGGAATAATTGCAAACTGCCCTGCAGGCTCTACCGATGGTTACGTTGATTGTGGGCGCGAAAAATGGCACGGATTCCCAGGTGAACCTCGTGACGTGCTGCGAGGGCGTGGATGAGCCACGCCGGTGTTCTTTCGACAGTCGCCACGTGGCCAAAGGAACTCCCCAGTGGGCGAATTATGTCAAGGGAGTCTGCCATCACTTCCCTCATCCCATTCCTGGCTTCAATGCGGTCATCGTGAGCAATGTGCCCGTGGGCGGTGGCCTCTCGAGCAGTGCAGCCCTGGAAGTGGCCACGATTGCCTTCCTGGAGGGCCTGACGGGCCACAAGATTGCATCCGAGGCGGACAAGGCGATTACGTGTCAGAAGGCGGAGCACAGCTTCGCCGGAATGCCGTGTGGCATCATGGATCAATTGATATCTGTCATGGGACAGGAGAAACATGCCCTGCTTATTGACTGCCAGTGAGTATTCAGGAGAGTGAAATTCCAAGACGTGCATAAATTAGCGTCTGCTCGTTGGCAGGAATGTCTCAGCGCGCCAGATTCCCCTGATAAGCGACGAGCTGGTCTTCCTCATTTGCAATTCCAATGTTAAGCATGAATTGTCCTCGAGTGAGTATCCAACCAGACGAAGGCAATGCACAGAAGCGCTGGCCGCCATGGGACTGTCCAGCTATCGAGATGCCACAGTGTCTGAGCATCTCAGTGGTGAGTGGCCTCAGTGGAGTGTGTGTGTGATTGTACGCAGAGTTGCAATTCTCCTTGTCTGTTTCAGCCGTGAAGGATCCCATTCTGCTCAAGAGAGCCCGTCATGTCATTACAGAGATCCAGCGCACTTGTGAGGCAGCCGAAGCACTCTCCCGGCAGGATTTCCCCATGATGGGTCGTCTCATGACAGAGTCCCATAAGTCTCTGCAGCGGGACTTCGAGGTGTCCTGTCGCGAGTTGGATCTGCTCGTTGAGGCTGCCGTGGCGTGTGAGGGTGTTTTGGGGTCTCGCATGACTGGAGGGGGATTTGGTGGCTGCACGGTGACACTCGCGAGAAAATCCCACGTCCAGAAGGTGATTGATCACATTGCCGAAGTCTATTGCACTTCTGGAGGCACTCCGACTTTCTACATTGCCACCCCGAGTGCAGGCGCTCGCTTGATTTCATCGTGAGAGGAGCAGTGACTCGATTCCCTGATCGAATTACATTCCATCCATTCCACATGGAAACGTGTAAGAATCGTAAATCAGTTTCACATTAAATTCAGTGGGAATTTAAATTTCAGTGCGTGTCGTTTGGAGGGTAATTTGAGAAATTGATTCAAGTGCAGCGATTGTCAGAAGAATGGTATAAGGAAGATTAATCGAATGGTATTCAATTTCCTCCTCTTTTACCCCTTCATTGCACATGCAAACAGTAAAACTCCAACTGCATTGACTGTAAAAAGCATCAGGGAGTTTTTTCTATATAACTATTTATGAGAAGCGGAAACAAAATGGGAGAAGATGAAATTCAATGAGACCTTTTCTCAGCAAATAACGATTTGAGAGGATGGGGAGCAAAAGACATTTCTCATTTTTATTCGAACAGTGAGAGATAATTTTCATCGATATTCACCTCCGCTACACCTCACTTTTGGGGCACTGTAATCAGTGTTCGGGAAAATGCGACGAAATCACAAAATCATTCTTGTGATAAATTTCATCTCCCATTTTCCTGTGGTCCGCATTTTATCATCACCATTCCAATTCAGATGGTTAACGCTGAATTTCACCATCACAATAGCGGAGAAATACAATTTCCGATAATATTTTTTCACTGAAAAACCCTGGGAAAGAAGAAGGGAGAGTCATTTTGAGGGTGAAGTACAATAAAGACTAGAATTAGAGGTCATTTCCTCGGACATTTCTATTTTCTATTAAAAACACAACATCAGATTAAAGTATTACGTATAAAGATTTATAATTGGAAAGTGCCGTAAATCAGTGAGTTCTTATCAAATGTGTTGTTTACACTCACAATTGCTAATCTTATGCAATGCTTAGTCTATCAGTGCATTAATTGAAGCAGAAACTCCAAACAAACTATATTTACTCACTCATAAGATGTCTTTAAAGACATTCATTCAAATTCTGACTGTGTATCACTTCCCTTCAGCATGCTTCGCCCCTTGCTGAGCAATAATAATTCAAAATTATGCGCCGAGGACGAGAAGAGGAGATTAAATTAATTTTCTATTCTATCTTTTTATGCTCGAGTAATTTTTACATGGCTCCAATCGCGATTGTACAAATTACTTCTAAATGATTTCCCTCGTGGGAAAACATTCTCAGTTTATGGTGAAATGTCTGTCCTCATTTTTCCTGGTGTGCCGCCGGCGGGACACAAGAGAGATGGGGGTGAATCTCTTGATCTGGACGAAGAAGAAGAAGAGGAATTGGGGACAAACAGTGGCTCAAATAGTGTGTGATCGATTTTGATTGTCGGTACAATTTTGAGCGAGCGCGAAAGAAAAAAAGAACACACGAGGAAAATGGGGTGATTTCTGGAAATTTTAGGGAAGCAATTCATGAGATGATCCCTTGTGTGGGATTCCACCGAATCACCATTTTAACGATGTGGAAATTTGATGGTCACATGAACATTTTTCTCCCAGAATATGGACAATGCTGAGATAAATTTCACATTTTACGTTGTGGTTTTGGGCTCCTGACAAAATCGTCCTCCTCATTGAATTTCTTCATTCACCCATCATCTCTTGTCGTTCTCCCTTTTGTCCTTTTTGTGGCTGAGATGTCGTCAGGAACAGAGACAGTTGAGGAGCTTTTTGGAGGAATGGATGATGAAATAGCATTTATATTCCAGTGCAATAACAATAAACTGGAGAAATTTGGAAATCTCCGTGCACTGTGAATGAGAAATGCTGAAGGGGTTGTGAAACTGAGAGGAATTTCCTGTGGTGAACACAAAATACGTCGAATTTGAGGTCAATTTGAGCTGTACAAATTGGCCAGATGTTTTCCAGAAAGGCGGAGAGAAAAAAGGGAAAAAGTGTGGGTGTGATTGAACGGCGAAGCACTCGCAAAAGACGAGATGTCGAAGGGTCTCATTGTTAGTCTAATGAATTATGGTAATTTTATTATCTGATTGTCATAGACACCGCACGATTGAGCAGAAAGAAGAGGAGCTTTTGAGGAACGATTTTGGAGAAAAAACAAACAATTAGAATTTCCCTCTTTCTTCTCTACCTATGAATCTTGATTAATTGAAAACTTTGTGCTCACTAATTAGGACTTTCATTGAACCCTATCCGAAAAATCACAGTCTTCTTAGCTCAAATTTATTTATCTTAACTCCCCCTATGAACTTTTCGCCTACTTTCCAACCTTGTTTCACTGTTTCCACACCAACACCAATTCTTCATGCTTTTCATGTTTACTTCTCGCTGTAGAACCGGTAGAACCTAATTAAAAGTTCACTCCTTCTCAAGTAGTTTCTCATATTCAATTACGAGAACCAGTTTACGAGCCGTCTTTTGGCAGCAAAGAAAAATATCTCACTTGCGAACTGTAGTTGGTGTGGAATTTCCAAAACTTTGGGTATGAACAGAACAAACAGGAAGATGTGCAAATGCAAGCAAAAGTGCTCCGCAGTGTCTAAAGAAGCTTTAGTATTGTCTAAGTGCTAACTAGAAATTATGCAAATTATTATTGACAAAAGAGGTTCACAGCGAAGCACAAGAGATAGTGTTAATTTCCTCTCCAGTTTCTATTCAAGAGCTATTCAAGTATTTATAGTGTTCCTTGTGAATATTCGCGTGCGGCTTCTATCAAGTCAAGTTTCTAGTGTCTGAGAGAGTGATAAGAAATTTGGAATTTATGTCTGCAGAAACTTTACGCTTTTAAGAAACTATTTTGCATATTTGGATAATTGTCATCGAGCGAGATATTCTTCAACAGGTGTTCCGCATTAAAGTTCAGTAAACTTTTCTTGATGATTCTCAGGAGCCCGAGAAATGTCTTTCTCCAAATTTGGCTCATTCACCACACTTTCGTTCATTGTTGCGCTGCAAAGTGGAAACCACTCACATAGAGTGTGAATTATTAACAATTTCACGACCATCAACAATTCTGCCAAGTGTGATTGGCAGCCATCGAAACAACCAATTAATCTAAAAGCTCCGAATGATTGCAAAAAGCACGAAACGTACAGCGTAAATTTATAATAAGACCAAACTGACAAGTTGGGACTTACAAAGGGATCTGCAGAGGAGAAGTGACTGTGGAACTCTTAACATGATTTTTTTTTGGTAATGCGAAAGGGAGGCTTTCACCTTCCGTCCGACAATGGAAGTCAGCAAACGATGGCGAAAAAATATGGAATGCGAAGGAGACGAGAACTTCACAATTGCTGAAGCTCTTTTTCACCTCGCCCTTCGGATGCCGGGGAGACGAAACGTGACAATGTGTGACACACACAAAGTGCTCTTTGCCCGACGCTCGCCGCCCACATTCTGTGGCTCACCCCGGAAAAGCCCCATTCCAGATCATGGCGGAATGTGATGCGGGAGGAACACGTACGACACCTACTCCAATAATTAAAGAGCTCTTTCCTTTGCGTGTCGCTCTAGCCACTTCGCCTCGTCCCACCCACACTGGAGCTCTCCTCCTTTCGTGCGGCGAGTCCAGACCGTCGCAGGAGTCGTCGAGAGGTAGGTCAAACCGCGAAGAAGTTGTTAATGTTGCCAAGAAATACCAAGAAAAGTTACATTTTCAAGAACTCTCGAGGAATTTAATTACTCGATGGTTTTCACTGAAGGAATCTTTCAAATAACACCGATTATTTGAAAAGAGTTCTCTTCCTGTGCACACAACTTCTCAATGAACCATCTTGATAATGTCATACAGACTATATGGAATAACTGCATTGCAAAAGCCAAGAGAGATTTGTGCTTTCATTTCTTCAGTTGAACGAACAACAAAGAACAAGCTTTCAAGACTGGACAAAATATCTCATTTTCTCTCCAAATGATTATCCTTCCATTGTGGAATTTCGCATTGAATTGTTCCAGACAGCCAAGAAGAAGAAGATGGAAAATGAGTCAGGAAATTGAAACGATTTCAATCTTCATCCCCAATTAACAAATTAATCTCTCTGCAATAATTGCGCAGATTAATCAATTTTCCGACTGGTTTGGGGGACGGATTTCCACGGGCGCCCACTTGATTCTTCATGCGCGAAAAACACTCAAGAGATTACTGGAGAAAAGTCCCACTCTCCCTGAGTCTGAAGAAAAATACAAGCAAGCCAAGGGATGGCAGGGAAATACGATCACAAATGTACCGGAAACTTTTCCTTTCGCCCCTGAAAATCTCGCAACATTTTTGACGATGTCACAGAAGTGAGAAGGGATTGATGTGCTAAAATTTTCTCAGAATCACTCAAGAAGATTCTCTAAAGGCAGATGGGAGCTTTTCTGAACTTTTAATTCACAGATTGAGAAGGGATGTTGGATATTTTGTGGAAATTTCACTGAAGCGTGAGAAAATTTCATGAAAACTTGTCCCACAATTCAGTTAAGAGGATAACCCATACATGAACGGGTAATTGGACATTTTCTCTTCTCTGGGTAATCCTCAATTGTAATTTCATGTTGAGCATTTATAATTTATGTACATTTTGTACAACCTTGGGTGTAGAAATGCCTCAAGTCCACTTCATACTTTATTTAATCACGGGGAAATGCAGGGTTTCCTCATCAATCGATCAAATTGTGTGATTTCCTTTCCCGGAATTCACTTTAATTAGCCGGAAACGCGCGGCGCTGGCTTCCCGTCCGCTCTCCGCCCATTTGTGTATTTTCTCAGAGGGTGGATTTCACCCACATTAATTCTGGCCGACGCTCTCTCAGATGATGGTCACGATATTTACACGCTAACAGTGAGAAATAATGATTAATGAGCTCGGATGATATTCAAAGGCTTCCCTGACCATCGCCAATGGCACTTTTTCACCCCTCAAACCCAGGGGCGCTCCATCAATTATTTTGGCGCCTACGCGTGTCCCACGCCCGGCGATTGGATCCGGATTGAATGTCGATTCGCATCATTTTTCTTTTGTACCGCTCCGCCACCCCCGCTTCGCATTCCGAGGGATGCGAGTGGGAATTGCCACTCGATTGGAGGGCAAGAAGTCGACTTTGGGGCAAGTGAGCGTCAGCCCTTGATCCCCCTTTCGCGAGCTACTCAGCCTTCCCAAAGGGACTCCCGGCGCGTCGCAGGAAAGATGAAGAAACAACGGCAGACTCCCACCCAATAATGATTAATCGATTTCCCTGCACGTTTCTTGTGAGCTATTGACCCGAATTCGTTTATTGCTAAATTGCTTATCGATTTGGCGAAATCACATTCTTTTACACTCTGCGTCTTCCGGGAGTCTCCGCGCACCCCATCATTCACTTTCGCGCCACCGAGTGCGAGATAAAAATCCCCGAGCTTCGACTCTCTCAAATTTTATTGGAAACAATTTGGGTTAATGATACAACTAGGTGCGCTCGAGGCGAACGTGTGAACTGAATCGGCTTTACAGGAATCTCAGAAATCTCGTGGGGAGCGAAATTTTCACTGCGGAAAAATTTGGTTTAATCTATAATCGTAAAAATTTGATCCATTCATCTGCTATGAAACAAAAAAACACCTAAAAATACCTTCGTGACTCTGGAGATACAATAAAATCAACAGCGAAAGAAGACTCTTTTTGACAAAAAAAATCACCAAGACAAAAATTCTGTTTTAAATCCTGATCCGAATATAGAAATAGAAAATACTTCTGCGAATTATTATTTTCACCATAAATGATTGAAGGTCTGTCTCAAGTGATTCTCAAAGTTGAGATGAAATGCTATGTGAAATGCAATAAAGTTGTGTGGGATAAATTTTCCAGCTCCTCTCGAGGAAATATTAAATTTTGATGATTGAGTCTTTTTATTTGCCTAACTTGATAAAAGCAAGAAAGCGCAGAAACCATCAATTCTGGGAAATTGCTCTCTTCTGCGAACTGATTTGACCATTGCAGATTATTTATTGAGCAATTCTGCGTCGTCTTGACATCGCAAAGATGTATTATGAGACAGCAAACTTCGACATTACTGCGAAATGCGATTGATACTGATGTGAAATATTTCAGAGTTATGAATGCTCGTGAATATGTTTGAGCACTGAGTGAAAGGAATTCTCTTTTCCATTCCTAAATGCCTGAATGTTTGTAGATAAATTATGTTTACACTTTAATCACAAATAGTAACACACCAAATTATTCAGCCGGTTTATCACCAATGAGCGCTAGTGCTTTTCGGTGTTATAACTAAAAATCCAAAATATTCGTGAGCATGGAAAATCGTGTGCAGGGATTGAATGATCAGCGAATCAAGTATAAATGCAGCCACGATAAATAATACAGTATTGCAATATAAATTTGCATTAATTACTTTGGCATGAGGATCGTTAATTCAGTACTACACATTTTGGGATGATTTACAGCTTTGCATAATTATGTGGATGTGGTTAATAATCATCAGAAATGTCCGCAATTAGTGCATGAGAGTTGCTGGCAAATTGAAATTCACGAGACAAGGCACTGTAACTTGTGTCTGCTATTCCAGTAAATAATGCACACTAAATGCCAATGGCCACTAATGGGGCTTATCGCATTGCAATCCACGCCCTCGCGCCTTTGCAGTGCCCACGGAAGAGTAGCTTAATTTGTATGTAATGCATAATTTATTTCAATTAAACATAAAAACTGCTCAATTTGTACATTTTCACACAAGCTGACAATTGAACAATTCATCAAATTGTGTTCTTTTTTTTGCCAGCCTCCACGCAAACAACACTGTGTTTTTGTCCTTCTCGTCCTCCACACAAATTTTGCGGCTGTGCAAATGGGTGGACAACGTCTCCTCTGCACGCAGAGAGTGTCTTTCAAATGGCACGAGAAGAAAAATTTACTGCGGAGGAATATTGGCCGAAAAGGCGGCAAATGAAAGTGATAAATTACAGGCAATGTCACTTGCTGGTGGTACGATATTTAAATTCTTGCCCTCTTCGGCAAGGGACAAATTGAAAAAAAAAGCGAATCTCTCCTTTCTTGGGGCCGAAGTGTGGAGAGAGAGAAAGAAGCAAGAGCCAATTTCAGAGATAAGATGTGAATGGTTTAAAATGGGCCGATCCTGGCGGTACTGCAATACCAGGCCAACCCGCGGCAAAGGTGGAGCAAGCCCCTAGCACTTCGCCAAATTCCAAAAATCAATTTAACAACATTGTCCCTCTATGAGGGATCTATTAGGTGTTAAACTAATAAGAACAGATACTACACTTTGATCTTAGCCGTTAGGCCGAGAAGCGATAACGACTCCGGCGCTCGGCAAACGTTATGAGATTGTGGTGAATGTGGTGTGTGCATGAAGTATACATTCAAGTAGAAATATTGAGTTATATTGTTTTTAAAATGCCATAAATTCACTGTTTTTCCCCGCCATTTGTGCTAATAATTACAAAGAATATTATACTGTTTATGCGCCAAAGCTTTATTAATTAAAACTGTTGAATTTACATCTCTTCTGAAGGCGAAAAGCAGTGAAAAGAGCCACTTTGCCGCACTGTGAGCTCTTCAGCAGTGCGAATGGCGCGAAAAATGGATTGCGCCCAAGGAAAATTGTTCCTATACCGTGTATTCCAGCAATAAATTATGTATCTCGAGTATTGTGTGCATCAACACACTGGGACGGGGGTGGAATTTAATAACCAAACTAGATTATGAATTTGTAATGAGTTCATTTCCATAACCCGACATGGTGCACGGCGGCAAGTGAGACTGAAAACACATCTCTTTGCAGCCTCCCACGCGCCAAAGTGCGGGGCGCACAGGAGATGCTATAAATTTTGTTTAACACAATCTGCTGTGTTGTCATTGTTTCTCCTCCGGATCCCAGCTCTCAATCTCTCCCGTCCGCGCACGAGGGAGTGGGCAGGAATTCAGGGGGAGGGAAGCCTTCCGACTGAGTGATCCGCTTGTCAGCCGATGGTGTCAGGGAATTTGTTGGTATGACACCCAAAAATACCCGTGGCAGCTGAAATGCATAGTGGAAAAAGGGCGACAGCGGAGTTTTCGGTTGACTTCAAAAATAGCACTGCGCGTGAACTGGCGTGTTTGGAATTTTCTGGCTCAATTCACAAAAAACTGTTCTGGAGCATGATGGAAAAGTGCAAAGAAGAGTGAGAAAAGCAGTGCATGGAAATCGCTCAGATGCTCACAGCGCATTCTACTTGTGTGTATACAATTAAACTTTCGCTGTGCCGCAGGCCAAATCAAATGGGGATTCAATAGGGAAAATAAAGTTTGCCAAAGTTAGATATTCATTGTTTCATTTGCACTTGACACTGCAAGGAGAATCGTGAGCGATGGCGAGAAGTTCAGGAACTGTATTTTCCTCAAGCACCTCATTAATCACATGTTCAGACGCTCTCCGAGTGTGCTGGAGATGCAAAACCTTGACGCTGTGGCCTTCCTGAAGAGATGACAAATACAATCTGCTCCTGTCGCGGCATTGCACAATTGGCCATAAATCTCCTCGCCAGATAGACCGCGCCATTCGCCTTTAATTAAATCACAAACCCAGATATATGCGGAATGTCGATTCTGGAAGATGATGACATGACACAGAAAATAAATGGGCGGCCAGAGGAACACACGGAAGTTCAGTTCCAATTTGCTCTCCGCTTGCTTGTCGATGTAATTTTCCCAGAGGCGCGCGCGTGAATGGCTGAACACTCGGGTGACGGGGGGAAAAGTTGAGAGAAAAATGAGTGGAGATGCTGGAAAAGTCTCCACGTTTTGTGTTCATTTCAGATTAACCTGATTGAAATTAATGGCACTGGTGCACGAGGGAGTCTCGAGAAAATTATGCCTCTTTTTTCTCCCAGCTCTCATGGCAATGAATGTCTCTCTGGTCGACCCGAGTCAGGCCGCAGAGAAGGCAAAAAGCGGGGGGCTCGAAATCAATTAAGACGCACAGAACACAGTCATAAATCACGATCTGCGGAGCGCCTTTCCAAAAATATCATCTCAATGAAATATTCTAAGCAGAACTCGGAGACGCACTCAGGAATTCTCAACGGAGAAGAGCCCGGGAAATGATTCAGCGAATGGGGGATGTTTTCACTTATTCCCTTATCATCCCTCCTGCCAGAAGCTCTGCCCCTTAGTGATGAGACTGCAAATGGAAAATCTCCTATCTCACTCCTGAATTGCTCCCGAAATGAGCATCGCCTTCCAGCGCTCCACCGACATTTCCACACAGCACACGGTTTTCCTCTCGTCCAATTGAATGGGAGTTAATTAGAAAAATTCAATACGTTGCAAGATATTTGCCCTAAAGTAACAATGTTGGTTGCAAGAGGCAAGAAAGTAATAGCATTTCTTGGGCAAAGCCAACAGTTTGCATTGAAGTCACGAAACCGGGAGAATCCTCGGCAAATGGGAAAATCAGAAAATGCATTTTCCCCCCAAGTTCCATGAGAAAATATGGCATGAGGGAAATGTTAAATTTCACTGGTATTCTGCGAAATAATAAATTCTTATATGCATTTGTGTTTTCTTTTCCAGTTCAAATATGCAATTTTCTCTTCGCCATGCATGTGCGAGTGCAGAAAATTATTTATGGTTTTTGTCAGTAGGAAAACAGAAATTCTATATTTTCTCCAATACTATCGCGACAGTAATTAATTATTGTTCTAAGTTTCACTGTAGAAAACTTGTTTGCGGATATTAACTTTTCCCTCGTTGTAAGTTTTGCTTTGCTATTTCGTGGAAATGGAAAAGAGATGATGTTGTGTAAACTATTACATGTTTTGTTATAAATTGTAGTCATGGAGTTACAGTTTCATCTCTGTAAATCAACGAATCCTTTGTGTTGACAGATCCAGAGAGAGAGTGGTTTCACAACTTGTATTAAATTCCATCAGAAAATGTCCATTTCCAGGGCGTTGACATGAAAATGTTCCATTGTCTGCTAACTTTTGCTGAAGTCCGCTCGAGAGGTGTGATTAGAGACGGAGAGCTCTTGAAATGGAAACTCTGTGGCGAGTGAGTGGGAAAATCTTGGATGAGAACCAAACCTCAAACTTGACCCTGACATGTGTGTTGTGGATTGAATCAATTTGGCCAGGGAGACGTGCGATGCGGGTGTGAGAAATTTCCATTACAACACCTCCTCGCCTGGCCCAACAATGAGCCGAGAGATAATGGGAATCTGATAAAATATTCACATTTAGTATTGCCGCTCTCATCTCACACCGCCATCGCATGAATGTTTCAGATGTTTGAATTTTCCATTCTATATCACTTCCTCTCGAGTACACTTGAGCACCCCAAATTCCCATTTGCATCCCCATTGCGCGCTCCCCAGTCGGGCCGCCAATTCAATCAATGATGTGAAAAATGCTCCCAACATTGGGTGATAAATTTCAGTGGCGGCTGAGTTGTGAGCGCGAATTTGCGAATGACCGATAAATTCGTTGTCTTGCCGAATAGATCACGGGGAATTTTCACGCTGAATGCAAATCCGTCGGCGGAGATTGTGGTCTACGGAATATTGTACGCTTATTGTGGTGAAATTTGCCGACCAGACGTGTGTGGAAAGTCCATTATATGCACGAAGGCTACCATATTCTCGGATAATCCGTCAGATTGTGGCGAGTTGTAACATGAAATCACGGAAGTGGTCAGAACTTTGAATAAGAGGCTTCACCCCAGGAAAATGTGTGTGTGTTCCTGTACGAGTTAATTAACTTTGAATCCCCCAAGATTTTCATTTGTAGTGTACTGTGTTTATATACTAATTCAGCCAAGCCACAATATGATCAAGATAAACTCAAACTTTCACATTGATTAATTTTCAGCATTATGAACGTGGCTTGTAAGATGATTTTAATTAAAGGAAGTGAAAAGTAAAATTTCCCCCGTGGAAGCCATAGAAAACTTTTCACTCTTCTTGTTCTGGTTAAAATGCGTATAGAAAAATTTCCTAGGGGCTCGTGTTAAAGCGAAAAATATGAGCTGTGGATTTTCTTTAGTAAACTTTTCTACATTGTGACGTCGTCACTTTTTCCGTGGAATGAGAGTTGTTATCCAATGTACAATTTTCTCACGTGCGCTTGCAAAGCGAACAACGTCTGTTCTAGGAAATATTAAACAATAAAACTTGTTACTTTATACAAATGTGAGAGACTTTGTATTTTCACTATTTCCGTTTAAAAATGAGAAACAGTTTTATTTCATATAAAAAAATCACAATTATTCGTGTCATTCGTGTCTATTTAATAAGTTTATTTATATTAACATATTCATTAAAAAGAACTTGTATTATGTCTCGTAATCTTCATAAAATCTCTTTAATTAATTATTTACCTTGTGACCTATAAATAAATTAAAGGCTTCACGAGAATATTTCTGTCTGGTGTTCAGGAAAAGTTGTTCAATTACAATATCGCTGCATTGGTACAATTTCCTTCTCTAGACATTCAACTTTACCCACAATTTACCTTTCTGCATACAGAAATACTTTTATAACTCTCAAACCTTAAGAGCACATTCCTTTGTAAATATTTTTCCCCATTTTCCCTACCATTAGGCACGTCTCATTTAGCAAATGACAAACCATTGATGGACATTCTCATGTACTAACAACGTACCTTGAAATTTTCTTGGTATAAATTGAGTGAAAAGTACTCCAAAAGAGCGGATGATGAATTAACGACGAATAATATGGTGGAGTATGTGGAGGACAGGAGGCATTTTTGGCCACGAGTGAAGCCATGGAACGAGGACTCGTGGAGGGAAATGAGGGCTTTTCATGCTGAGTTGGAAGCAAATTAGCTGAGGGTCTCTTCGACAATCTCTATTCGTGCAATAATTTTCACTCAGGACACGTGAGTTGGGTGGAAATTGGCAAATTTGACAGTGGTTGAGTGCCTAGGTCGCTGTATAAAGTTTTTATTGCTCCAAAGCAGGCAATCTGAAAAATTATGTCGCTCTGCCCCACCCCTTGGCCACCCCTCGCGAAGAGGAAATATTAAAAATTTCCGCCCCGCTGGAATTTTATATGCGTCACCGTGAAACTGTGACGAATACGCACCCACATGAGACTCTTCTGGGCCCCCTGTCGACAGTAGAAGTATGAATATTCCATGGCCCCCATGTTCAGCTCTTGTATATTGATGGCATCAATTATTTTTTCCTACAGTAGCCCAAACATCCATCTGCTTCCGGCTTGGCGGGAAACTGTCTGAGGAATTAAGTGCGAAAAGCACACACTCCACACAGGATTAAATGTATCTCCCAAGAAGT